TTAAATTTTTCAAATAATCTTCTTCAGCACATTTATTTTTGGCAGGCTTAACTGCCTCTACAGGTTGGAATCTGGCCTGACAGCTGGCTGAAACACTTTGTATATTTGAGCTAGCACTGATTATATGGACCTTATTCAAATGTATCCCTTTTAAACACAAACAATCCATCGATTTGCTGAATGAGGTAATAGCTCAAAAATAAGTGAGACTGTGAGGTTAGTTTAAATTTTGGTGGGAAAGTCCCAACTTTATTTTTATATTCTCCCTAGAAAAAAGAAGCATCCCATGTAAAACTAAAGAAGCAAATTTCAAAAACCAAACACGTTTTGGCTGATTTACTGTGTGTGTGGGGTAAGGGCTAAACTCTCCACAGCTTCACCAGCTTCACAGGTATGACTACAACTGTACAATCCGAAGCAGAGCATGAGACATTACTGAAAATCACAGTAAGAGTTTCATGCTTCTTTAGTGCCTCTCACATTGAATTTCCTCTTTTGTTTAATGTCATAAGTGCAGATCACCATTAGGTCACTGTATTTCTTCATTTTGTTCTCGCATTAGTTGGAAACCCATCACAAGCTGATATATGTGCTATCAGTTGTTTAATATAAGACCTAAATAAAAAAAGAAACAGGAAGCTTGCTGTCAGGCAATGTAATGTGGGTTCTCAAGTATTTTATTTTAACCCTTTAATCTGCAAGAGTCTATACCTATGTGGGCTCACACTTAAATGTGTCATAACTACATATGAGAGAGAGAGAGAGAGAGAGTGGGACATATAGATATCGTTTAATAGTAGGTACTGAATAAATTAAGGTTGTTACTGGGATAGGAGTAAAATACATTCCACTACAGATTGCTGATTACCTTAACACTCAACATTAACAATAAACATTCAGTATCTAACCAAAGCAAGCGTAAACTCTTACAACAAAATCTGCATTAAGCATATATGAGACCAGAGACAAACACAGGCAAGAAAATTTCTGTTCAACTAACACAATCAATTCTAGCTAGTGGACAACTTATATATAATCCTAGAAAAAAACTAGCAATAGCTAGTACATAATAACATTAAAAGATTCAGAGAAACTTGAGAAATCTCTGTATGCAAAGGACAAGGCCAAAAACCAGTACTTGCTGGCCATGATCTTTGGGCCTTCAGACGGCACTGCATCAAAACCAGACATGATTCTGTAGAGAAAATCACTGCATGGGCACAGAAAAACTTCTGAAAAACACTGTATATGAAAACTGTTCATCGCTGTATCCAAAAATGCTAATTAAAACTCTAAAACGCAAAGAAGAAACCGTACATAAACAGGATACAGGAATGCTGCCACCTTTTCTGGGCCCGAGCTCATTTAAAATTGACTGAGGCAAAGTGGAAAAGTGTTTTGTGGTCCGACAAATCAACATTTGAAATTCTTTTTGGAAATCATGGACACTGTGTCCTCCAGGCTAAAGACCACTCAGCTTTTTATCAGTGCACAGTTCGAAAGCCAGTATTCATGATGGTATAGGGTGCATTAGTGCACATGGCATGGGTGACTGGCACATCTGTGAAGGCACCATTAATGCTGAATGATATATACATGTTTTGGCAACATATGCTGCCATCCAGACGACGTCTTTTTCAGGAAAGGCCTTGCTTATTTCAGTGAGACAATGTCAAACCACATTCTGCATGTATTACAACAGCATGGCTCTGTATTAAAAGAGTCCTGGCGCTAAACTTTCCTGCCTGCAGTTCAGACCTGCCACCCACTGATAACATTTGGTGCATTATGAAATGAAAAATACAACAAATGAGCCCCCGAACTATTGAGTATCAGAAATCCTATGTTAAGCAAGAACAGGAAAACATATGACTTTCAAAACTACAGCAGTTGGTCTCCTCATGTCCCAAATGCTTACAGAGTGTTGTTAAAAGAAAAGGTGATACCACACAGTGGTAAACATGCCCCCATCCCAACTTTTTTGGAACATGTTGTTGGCATCTAATTCAATATGGGCATATATTTTTCAAAAAACAGTAAAGTTTCTCAGGTTCAACATTTGATTTGTTGTCTTTGTACTATTTTCAATTAAATATAGGGTTTAAATGATTTGCACATCATTGAATGATTTGCATCATCACCGGTTCCGGCGGCGCAGCGTGTAGCTGCAGCGGCCACTTCGGGAACAACAAAATGGTGCTTTTTTGCTAAACTCTAAACTCAAAAACCATGACTGTTACAACCAACACCAACGTCTACCTTATTCCACAACCCTACCTCATGCTCAGAAATGAGTGCTGTGTCTGCGCTGCACTGTCCTGTCTGCTTACTGTGTCTAATGTCTGTTTTATTTATCATATTTATTGTATTGTTTGTGGTCTAATTCTTTTTGCACACTTATGTCTGCTCGTTGCACTTTGTACTGTCTATTTTGTTTCATATTGCACCGTGTTCCTTGGAGGAATGTAATTTCATTCCACTGTGTACTTCTACGTAGATGGAATGACAATAAAAGCCTCTTGACTTGACTTGAATTTTGTTTTTATTTACATTTTGCACAGCATCCCAACCTTTTTGGAAATGGGGTTGTATGACACAGTCACACAATCCCAGACTTACACTTTATAAACCGTGAAGGAGATAAAGAAATAACAAACAATGTACATATGCTTTCAGAATCACTTTGGGCCTTGTACTGTGAGGGAATAGGCCCATTTATGGCAGAGTGCAGTGCATTCTCCAGTCTGTCTTGTTTTCATAGCACTAAGCTGATACATTTCATTAGCCTGACTCATGGGCTCCACTGTGCTTTACCACTGGTTAGCAACAGCCTGAGCTATATTTGGCCTCTCTGAAGACTCCTTCAGAGCAACCATGCTTTATTTTTCATTAAGAGAGCGGCTCATAAACCAAGCTCCATCACGTTCCTGAGACGTACACAACGCCTTTGAGACAGGCAATATGCTGCCTACCCCCTCCAGGATCCTATCAGGCTAGAGAACAGCATGAAGGGAAAGAAGCTGGCAAGGAGGCGACTTCTGTGAAGTCTGCTTGCCCCATTTTGCTGCAACAAAGTGATCTTTTGTACATGCCATATGGCTATGTAAGAGCTAAAATGGAGTCTGTGGAGAGTACATCAGCATTAGATTCAGGGTTCAACGCTAGATTCACCAACAACAGTCATCCATCTGTTGAGCATGAAAGTTCAGTTCATCACAGCATCTAAATTAAGGTTTCACTTCCTTTAGGTTGGTTAGGTGGTTGCAAAATTGCACTATGGCACAGATAGAACTGTATCTGACTTAAGTATAACCTAACCACAAGGCTACAGTTTTACCATCACTTTAAAGTCTGCAGTCTTACTAGAGGTGCCTTTTCAACATCGTTGGCAAAGCTAGCACCTTGGATCATTTGACTTTTGTTTTTAGCTTCATTTGTTGCTACCGACACACCCTAAATGTGCTCCACTGAACACACTTTCAGTTCTGCATTTTTTACTGCTGATACTTATTCCTGTTTGCTCAATGTCATGATCATTGAAAAGCATGTAAATATCAACAGACCAAATTTATGCAGTGTTGGGTGGATTTGGTTGGATTGGGCTAATATTTTGATGAGTTTTAATAAAGATTATAAATTTGAATTTGAAATTTGAATACCTCTAACTTCTTCCCACATCCAGTCAGTTAAGAAAAAAAAAACTTTGATTTACATACATCCCATTCTCTCTTGTTGAGAGAAGGCTGTTGGCATGGACTATGCAGTTGGAAACTGGAATGGCTGTGATCTGTTTGGCATAGCCCATAAAAGTAAATATGTTTTAAGAATGTGTATGAGAAATAGTTTGGGTTCTTCCACTGATTGTAGTATTACTGATATTAATTTGCCTTTCTGAGTTTTACTTTACTGAAATTATTAGGTTTTTTTTGTTTGTTTGTTTGTTTGTTTGTTTGTTTGTTTAGGCATTTCTCAGGTGATTTTTACAGATATTCTACACATGAAAGCTTTTGTTTCTTTTGACCATTGACAATAAACACAGAAGTATGACAGTGACATCTATCATAACTAAATCTATCAAAACAAAAATTTCCTGCAATTTTTCAAAGGTAAACATGAGCGTTTAAATGCTGTATTATTCAGTCTTATGGTTGAAATGTTGACCTTTGACTGTTTTTGACACATTTTGGACAGCATCACCAAGGATGTAGTCACTGACGGTGCACCAGTGAGGTGGATCTACAGGGAAATAATTTCTAATGAAGCGCCCAGTGTATGTACAATAAACTGGTCTGTTACAAGCAAAGTGCAGTTCCACAACAAAGTTCAAAGGCTTATTGGAACATGAATGAGTCCTGTGAAATAAAAACATTCATCAAAAGAGATGACTTCTCTATCAAAATTAAACAGTTATTAGAACATATGTAATTAGAAACAAGAGGGAACTGTCCCTCTGTTGACTCAGAGTTAAATTGACACAGCAATTAGATTAAATAAACATTCACCTCATACTGAAGTCAAAGACCAAATTATTTTCCAGTGAAATCCATTTCTGCCATGACCTCTTATACTTTTGTAGATGAGGACATTTTATTCAGTGTCACCATAATAAGGCTAAATGAATTTCTCTGGATATTCACATGATTTTGTGAATCATGTGACCTTTCAATTGTACTTCTAATGCACTATTAAAGTGTGTTACAGTGGTTGAGTTGGCTTATCAGAAATATTTGCAGGGAAATGGTTTGGGGTTACCTAGGTGGCAGTTTAAAAATTTGACAGCTTTTCTGTTTTACTTTCTTCAGTTTCTTTTTACTCCTTGTCTAGCATACAAGGCTGCAAAACAGACAGTCTGTTTCTGTATAGACTCAGTATCACAGGTTCATGGTTGTAGACTGAGCCTTCACACAGTTCCACATTCTTACCCTCTTCACCCCTCCCTCTCTTTTCCTGTGACATCACAGCGAGTTGAGCATATAATGTGCCCACAAGAATGCAAGCATGTGAGGCAAAAGGAGAGAGTGCAAGTTAGACACAGAGCGTTTTCTCCCACCCAGTGGCCTGCCAAAGGCGAGAGATCTGCCCACTCAGGACTTAACCCTGTCAGGTAAAGCCATGGATGAAGAAGGAACTATACGTTGTGCCTGTCTGAGGGTTATGTGAAGACATAGAAGACCTCCAGACATTCTCTGTACAGAACCCATAAGGTCAGAGCTTTAATGGTATTTGATGGTACTTGGGCTTCCTGGGAACTGATGAATGATCGTTACAGTCTACAACCGTTGCATCCGGCAGAGTCAAGGATGGTTTACTCATTTCAGCCCACATTCTCTTTCCTTTAACTGTACAAAAGCGGCTGACATTGCATGTAACAGCATGGCTTGCCTGTGAACACTGGTGAGAAACATATTTTGCTTAACTTATCTGGCAATTGGCTGACAGCTGGCAAAGATTAGAATATATATAAAGACTTATATTTTTTGCTTTAGAGTGACTGTTAACATTTGTGCAGATGACAGAATGGTAGGATTTATTATATTTAAATTTTACTACACACTCTTGTTTTTTTGGTACCAGAGTGATACCAGAGTAGAAGGTCATGAGCAGTAAATCATCACAAATGTAAACCAGGCACTAAGAACTGTTGGCAGTTGTTGGTTTAAGCCCACTTAAGAGGCCTTTTCCTTTGTGTAAATATTGCCTTAATAGGTTTAATAGCAGCAGGTGAGGTAATTGTTTCTGAATAAGGCTAGACATTTTGGCTTGCACAGTCCTGAACAGATGTATGCAGAGGGGCTTAAAGCTAAGTGAGGGTGAGACATCAAGCTTTTGACATCAGTGGTTGGACACATACTCTCACAGGCACTCAGTAGATGGTCAAAGGCAAGAAGTGTAATACTCTGAGACAATGTTCTCTTTTCAGCTGTAAGAAGATCATGTTGTAATGGCGGGTTTGGCTGTCAGCATCAGGTCCCATTTGTACCACAAAGAATGTGCTGCAAACGCTAAACGATTGTTTTGGTTTCTAGACAGTTGAAATAAATTAAATTGAAGAAAACAAAAACTGTGCTGAAATGTTGATTGGGAAGCACAGATGCAAAGTTAAGTTCTTCAAATAGCTTTGGGAGTATGTATGTTGCAAATGTTATGAGTGCATTTCTAAGGCCCGTCCTGGCTTTGTGCAAAGTTCATAGAGTTTTCCTGTTTACCATTCGTGAATAGCTCAAATGAGCATTGAAAAAGAATGGAAAATTCCTTTGTAGAAACCTTGCACGGAACAGTTGGCCCAACTTGTTATAAGGAAGTATCAGTCTTATATTATACAAGACAGTATGGCAAATGACACTTCTTAAATGTGTTATTGTCAAGAGCAGATAAATAGATTATTTATTTTTAAGTCATTGAATATATGGATTGCATATGCAGTTTATATGAAATGTATTTGTAAAGGTCTGTGGAATACTTTCAAGATGATACCATTTGTTTAAAAGTTCTAAAGCCCAAAGCATAAAAGCTGGTTTGAAAGTGTAAAGTTTTCAGAGACGCTGAGTGGTTTCCTTTTTTGAAATGGAAGGCATGAAGTTGGGTTGTCACACCACTGGCACTGTAGGGCCTAAAAATTATGCACCAGCCTCAACTGAGAAAAAAAAACATTGTTAAATAAATGCACTTTGTGAGAACTTTGTGGCTAACTTTCCAGAAATTTTTTATCATGTAATCTCTCCTTTTGAGACCTCCCAAGACATTACAATGTTGTGACCTTCCATCACTTCATTAGTAGAATGAACCACAGCTCATAACAATGTCTCAATTACCATTCATGCCTCCTTACTAATGTGTTCTTTTGGAGGAGTCCAGCCTGCTTAACCTCCCTTATCAAAGCACTCAGACAGCCAAGCCAGGACTCCCTCCTGCAGCTTTAATTAGAGTCAGACTAAATAAGACCCTAAACAGAGGGAGGAAGACATCAGGAAATCTGTAGTTCACCCTGCTCACCTTCTGCTCTCTCTCTCTCTCTCTCTCTCTCTCTCTCTCTCTCTCTTTTCACTTCAGTAAGAGTCAAAGCAGGAGGGACTAAAATAGACTTGGAACCAGAGGAAGCAATACCAAGCGGGATGCAAAGCATGTAAATATACTTTCTCAGCCGTCCTTCCCATGGCAAGATATGAATCATCAAAAAACCCTGGATTTCACAGGCAGGCCTCTTATAAACAAAACTTAGAGACAAAACAGGTCTTCAGGACTGTGGAGAAGCCGTTGTAAGAGTCTGAGGATGCACATTTTTGGATTAAGCCTGTGAGGATCTAGGATCTTGCCACTCTTCAAACCTTGTCCAGTAGAAACTGTTAAATGTTTCTTCAGGATATAATGTTTCCCTGCATCAGAGGAGCTACCAGTCTGGAATTGAGCAAGGGATTGTACAAAAAAGGTTAGGCTTGGCCTGGAAGACCAAAGTCAAAATTTTCACTTGAGAAGTGGCAAAATCATGACTTCTTCTGCTCAACAGACTTTTACCACAAACGATCAAGGACTCAACTACTCTCCAGCCCTCAATCAATAGTGCTTGCTTGTATCTGTTGTGAATATTCCCTTACATCAGAGGAATGGAAATGAGCAAGATAGTCTACAAACATAGTTAGACTTGGCTTGGAAGACCATAGTTGAGATATCCCTCTTCCCCCTTAACAAGTGGGGCACTCAAGACCTTAATCACCTTCTGGTCATCAGACTGGCCATTTGCTACAAAGGACATTTTGTGTTTAATCTGTGGATGAACTCTTGAGGGAGTGGAGGGACTTCCTTGAGCCAGCTTGTACCAGATGGAGCAAATCACTGAGTTTTTTAATGACTTGTGGCAGCTTGCAACTGACAGGCACAACAAGGGCATCTACAATACAGTGTGTCTTATGGTGCTGCTCACTCTTCCTTTGGTTGTTTTCTTCACCTCCCTGATAGTGTGCTGCCACTGCTGTTTCTGTCGAGGTGCTGATGGTTGCTCATGCTGTTGCCAAAGAGATGGTACCACAGTCACAAGCACCCTGGTAGAAAAGAAGAAGAAGAAAAAGAACAAGAAGAAGAATGGTGGCCAGACAGAGGAGGACTTGTGGATTTCGGTCAAGACTGACCCCATGACTCCAGACAGAGTGGCTCTCACTATAGTGTAGCTAGTAGGCAGCACTCTGCACTAAAGGAAAGACTGGACATTTATTTATATCTAGGCCCTGTTTTACAGCAAGGTACATGGGAGGGATATTAAGGATTGCGCTGTAATTATTGACTTTGATGTGCCTGAAAAATGGAATCCAGTTCAATTTGTCTTGTGACTTTGAAAAGCGTATTAAGCAGAGTTGAGATTAAGCAATGGTGTGGGGTAGCATTATGTGTGCGTGTATGCCAACTCACGACAAGTGGATTGCCCATTCCTATTTCTAAGCATAACACTGCTCAGTGAGAATTTCCTTAAAATGCTACTGATTATGTTCTGCATAATTACAAGGGTCGTTCAGAGTCGTTTGATGTAATATGCTCCATTGCAGAGCAACTTATTAAGTCAAAATTGTTCACAGTGATAGTGATAGAAAACAGTTTGTTATTTGAAATAGTTTGTTATATGAATCATTTGAACCATTTAATGGTTTAACAGCTACCTTACAAACACATATTACATGAAATACATTGCCTGATGCCTGAGACATTGTTTTATGATAGGGGATTTTGGCCTTAAATGTATTTTGTAAAATCCTTTTATGGTATGATACATGCAGGGTGGTTTAAGAAAAAAATCATCTCCTAAGAAAATGTTTTTGTTTTTTTTTTTTTCAGATTTATTGCTATTTTATTTATCAACATTACATATAAAACTCATGTAAGTTTGCTGATCATTTTTAAAAGTAAATAAAATGGCTGTTTTTGCATTGTAGATATCCTGACTCCCTGGTTCCAATCATTACAATTGTAAAGAGTCATTAAGTTTCTCTACGATGAACATCAAACCACTCTAAATGATTTTATATCTTAGTTGAATTATGTAGATATTTCCATCCGTGTTATGTTATAGTGAGCCACAGCAGAGTGCTATGCTCTACACAGTGAATAGAGTAGAGAGCACCTCTGCATACTATTAGAGGGCCTTTAACACAGTTGATGTCTTTGGGTTTATTTACATACATTACCAATAGCAGCTTTTAAACAGCTTTGCAAAAATGCCATTTTACTTTTTGAACATTCATATTCACATGAGAAGTGGAGAGTTGAGAGTTATGCACATTTACACTCACCCATAATACTTTCCCAGCCCTTTCAGAAACTCAGAATGTGGCTAATTGATGTCTTTAAGGCACTTCATTTATCACAATTCAAAATGTTCAGATATATCCAGATAGATATAATCAATGTTGTAAAACATAAAGCAGATTTTATACAGAAAAAGGCCTAACACTTTCTTTTACAGTCCCTTAGGTAAATGTGAGGTACAAAATCCAAAGTACTATGTATTTTTTAGTTAGTTCCAAAACAGTCTAAATAAATTACACTGAAATGTCTAACAGATTCTAGATATTGACTGGGTAAGTGTGTGGTACGAACTCCAAAGTACTGTAAAATTAATTTGATTAAAATGATAATAAATTCCCAGACAGTCTGTCCATTTAAACTGGAATAAACTTAAACAGTTCTAGCTACCAAGCAAAAAAAGTACAGAGTAAAATATCTCAAAACTGGATCATTGTTTGGAGTAACAACGATGCTGTAATCACTATGTCCTCTGTCAGTTTTTCAGAATAATTTATTGAGACTGTCTAGGTATTATTATTTTATGCAAAACAATTATACACTTTGTATCAGACACTAACCCAGTTAATACCTTATGGCCAGTTCAATGTAATTTAATTAAATCATCTTGGAACTTACTATCATATTACCCAAAATAATTGCGTAGCATTTTTGGTTAAAGTGATAATAATTATTTAGTACTTTGTAGTTTGTACCTCACACTTACCTGGTTAATACTTAAAGGAACGTACAATAAATTATTGCAGGAAAAAAGGCTGTGTGTAGCCAGAGTTTTGATGGGTTAACAATGGAAGCTACTTTCTTTCTCAGCTGTAAATTTAAGGCATCATACCGGTTATATAGGTGCTTCAACACTGAAGACTTTTATTCAGATATCAATCATATGTATCACCCATCTTTCCATCTTTGTATATTTCCATACTTCCATGGTTAAACTGTTGACAGATCCTGAATTCAGCATGAAAAATCAGCAGCAGGTAACTTGAAACTTCCACGTTTAAGTTGTCTTTCAAGTACAAAAGGATCAAGGAGGCAATCTGCTGTCATGTCCTGTGTCGTTCATGACAATCTGAGTTTGTGTGATAGCAAAGCTTTGAGCAGCCTAATTCTGCATGAAAATGTTTGTTATATGAATTATTATGAATGTTCTGAAGCAATGTTTTTTTTTTTGTCTCCATTGTCATAAGTCACACTGGTTGAAGCATGCAGAAAGTGATGATTGTGTCTTTTCTGTAAAAATTAAATAAAGATATTATATATATATATATATATATATACATATATATATATTATTTTGTTAATAGAATGGGCCTACAAAAGATTTTCTTCCTAATAAGGGTATACCTATACCCAAGCTACTGTATACTTTGGCCTGCAAAGCCTCATAATAAACTTTGTAAGTGTCTTAAAGAGGAAGGACCCTAAGCCCAATGGCATTACAGTAATTTGGTCTCTTGGATCAGAGGTTGCATTATTTAAAAATAAGTCATTTTAAAGGAACCATATCCTAGATTTTATTTTTCCCTGAGATCCATGTATGATATATGACCAAAAACAATTATAATTAATTTATACAACATTTTCCAACCTCTCTTTATCCCTTAGATTTAAACAACCTGCTTTGTTGGTGTGCCTTTAAGACTGATATATGTAAATGACATCTTTTCTAAGAGGCTGCCCTGTAGTCTGGGCTGACACGTTCCTAATACTCAATCATGAATGGGCAGAACTTCTGTATCCTGAATAGGTGGACATATGTAAATTTGTTTGTTTTCATGACATTATGAAAACCATTAATTCAAAACGGCCTGTTTTTGGAGCTTCATTTCTATGTATGGACTGTTTGGAATGGGGAATGGACAGTATGTTTTGACACTTTAACAGTGCTTACCAGTCACCACATCTGTGTGAATGCTTCCGCAGCTGTAGAAATGCAGGCTGTAAGGGAGTGTTTCCTGATAAAGTCACTCCCTGAACTTCCTCTGTTCAGCAGCATGTGGCTCAACCAGCTATAAGGGGATCCACAGTACTTTGCTATAAGTGACAATAAGTGACTGAATGGAGTACAGACAAACTCTACAACATAGTTGATGTCTTTGGGTTCATTCAAATCAGGGGGCGGATTTAGCACTGAGATAAACATCCTCAGAGTGAGGGTAAAGTGTAAAGGTGGTCAGCACAACAGCTTGTTTACAATGGCTAGCACTACTGATTAACATAATAGTAGCTAAGCTGGTAACATTAAGGAATTTTAGAAATTTATTCATCTTTGGGCCCTTATTTAGTTAGCTAACAAGGAAAAAAAATTACCTTACTTGGGTGATATTAAGTATATAACCTGTTACACAGCTACCATATCTGCAAAGCAAGTAGGCAATAATTTGTTTACATAAACAAATAATTTGTTTACATAATTTGTTTCTGATAACAAGCGGGCTAATTTATTTCAGTCTACATAAAGTGACCAGTGAGTGTACACTGAACAATGATTGATGTCTGGCCAATTATAATATCCCAGTCTGGAAAACAAAAGGTCAAAGCCAATTTTTAATCCAACTCTGTCCTTGAGCCTTGATTTAGAGTTGAACACTCACCGATAACACCGCCCTTACACATGCAACTTACTGAATTTCAATCAAGTGTATTTAAAGCACTACACCTGTCACAATTTAAAATGTTTATGATCAATTTAATAACTGGAATTTATAGGGTAACACACAAAAATAACTTCATAGGGGGAAAGACTGCCCACAGTTTTGTATGGTTTGTGTGGTATTTTTGATGGTCCAGGGCCAGAGAAGAGAATGACTGGGGGAGGTTCGCACCAGCATGATGGAGCGGTCTGGGCTGTAAGTGTAACACACCCGCTCCTGGCTCCCTCCACCCAAACAAACAAGGCTTTGTTCAGCCTTGGGTCTGGCTCATGCTACTGTAGGAGGGAAAGGGAGGAAACACTGACATAGCCTAGTGAAAACAGTGACTCAGTCCAGACTGCTGAGAGAAAAGTTGGGTGGGACTAGGGGCTAGACACATAACGTTTAGAAACAAATGCATAAGAATGTATAGAGATATATACATACACACACACACACACACATCATATATATATATATATGATGCGTATATATTTATATATGGTGCTTTCAGTATATGTAAGCCTTGAGATGACAGAAGACTGAACAGGCACTTGAGTGGCCTCCCGAGAAAGAAATGATTGAATCCTCCAGTGCAGTAGGAGATAAACCTAAACGACCAGAATCACACCTAGACTTTGTGCAGCTTCAGACGAAATGACAAAGGAGTTCTTAGATGAGATGACAAGACCATGGTGAGGACCTATAGTTCCAGTCTTGCTAGGACTGATCTGAAGATGGTGAGCTGCCATCCATGTAGAGATGTCAGTCAGACATACTGAGATGCAACTGGTGCAGATGCAAGTTAGTATCAGAAGTTGGGAAGAAAGCATTCACGGGTGTCTTCAGCATAGCAGTGGCACAAAAAGCCATGAGAGAATATTACATTACCAAGAGAATAAGTGTAGAGTGAAAAGAGAACAGGACCGAGCACCAAGCCTGTGCTCGTCCTGATGTGGACCCTCTTCATTCTACCTGATAAAAGCGGCCACTCCAGATAGGACTCAAACCACTTCCCTGCAGAGCCAGCGATGACAAGATTGGAGAGACAGACAGGAGGATCTTGTGGTTGACAGTGGCAAAGGCTGCAGAGAAGTCCAGAAGAAACAGAACCGATAGCAGTTTGACAGTTCGTGCTGCCTGGACATTCTCAATCACTGCTATAAAGGCAGTTTCTGTTGAGTGTGCCAGTTTCAAGCCAGACTGGTTAGGGTCCTGGACCTGGTTCTGAGTGAGAGAGACAACTATCTATTCCTAGGTCACTAATCAAATTTAAGCAACTTTGTGACTATGTTAAGGGCTTTGTACAACCTCTTTTCCAAAAAACTGTGACACTGTGCAAAATGTAAATAATACAGAATGCATCTGCATATCATTTAACCCCTATATTTAATTGAAAATAGCAGAAATACAACATATCAAATGTTTAAACTTAGAAATTGTATTAAATATATACCCATTTTGAATTTGATGCCAATAACACGTTTCAAAAAATGTTGGGAGAGGGGCATGTTTACTGATGTATTATATTACCTCTAACACTGTAAGCATTTGAGAACCGAGCAGATCAACTGCTGTAGATTTGAAAGGGAAAAGTTTTCCCATTTTTGCTTGATATAGGATTTTAGCTGCTGCTATACGATTTGGGATCCCCTTTGACGTATTTTTCGTTTCATAATGCGCCAAATATTTCCATGCTGTTGTAAAACATGCAGAATGTGGTTTGGCATTTTCTTGTTGAAATAAGCAAGACTTTCCCTGAAAAAGGTGTCATCTGGATGACAGCTTATGTTGCTCCAAAACCTGTATGCATCGTTCAGCATTAACATCATCAACCATACCATCACAGATGCTGGCTTTGAACTGTGTGCTGATAACAAGCCGAATAGTCCCTTTCCTCTTTAGCACCGAGGATGCGGCGCCCATGATTTCCAAAAAGAATTTCAAATTTTGATGTGTCAGGCCACAGGATACTTTTCCACTTTGCTTCAGTCCATGGTAAATGCGCTCAGGCCCAGAGAAGGTGGTGGCGTTTCTGGATTCTGTTTATATATGTTTTTTTTTTTTTGCATGGTAGAGTTTTAACTTGCATTTATGGATGCAGCGACGAATGGTGTTCACAGGCAATGGTTTTGGGAAGTGTGCCTGAGCCCATTCAATAATTTTCACCATTGTGTCTGTTTTAATACAGTGCCACCTGAGAACCCGAAGATCATAGTCAGCCAATATTGGTTTTTGGCCTTGCCCATTGCATACAGAATTTTCTCCAGATTCTCTGAATCTTTTAATGATACCATGTACAGTAGATCATGAAATCCCCAAGTTTGTTGCTCTTTTATGTTAAGAAACGTTATTCTTGAATTGTTGCACTATTTGCCTGCGTAGTCTTTCATGGAGTGGTGGTGAACCCCTCCCTATCTTTACTTCTGAAAGATTCAGTTTCTCAGTTCTTTTTATACACAATCATGTTACTGATCTGTTGCCAATTAACCTAATTAGCTGTGAGATGTTCCACCAAGTTTTTTTTTTTTTCTAGCAGTACTCAACTTGACCAGTCTTTTGTTGACACACAATTTTTTAAACATGTTGCTGGCATCAAATTCAAAATGGGAATATATTTTTAAAAAAAAAAACACTCTAATATGTTGTCTTTATATTATTTTCAATTAAATTTAGTGTTTAAATCATTTGCATATCATTGCATTCTATTTTATTTACATTTTGCACAGCGTCCCAACTTTTTTGGAAATAGAGTCGCACAAAAAGTCAGATAATTTCTCTTATGTGGATTTGATGTAACTGTCAGAGGCTTATGCAGAAACTTGTGGAGTCCATTGCCAGGTCAAGTGCACGCTGGCATTAAAGCAAAAGGAGGACACACCAAACACAAAAATATCTGAAATTCATTTTAAAATTTAAACTTTTCACCCAAATTGTTAAGCCCATAATCTTTATAATGACAAACCTTGGCATGGAAGACAACACACACACACACACACATACTACTGTGAATGTATATTACAGGGTCTAAAAGTCTGAGACCACAATGACAATCTAGGTCACAATTCTAATTTAATTTGTGTCTTACTCCTTTCTTGGAAGCACATTCAGATAACTCCCTGGAGGTTTTGATCTTCTCATCAGAAGCTTGTATAAGTTAATCAGCTTGCAGCCACTGTTCAGCTTGCACACTGTCATTAAAAAGGGACATATTTTGCTGCTGTAACAGCCTCTACTCTTGTGGAAAAGAATTATACTAAATGTTGGAACAATGATGTTGGATTTGATTATATTCACACCTCTAGCTGACACTTGGCAGTGGCATGGTGAACTTAGGCTCATGGTCTCATGCCTGGATTAGAAAAGTCTTGCTGGTACGCCACTTTCACTTCTCACAGTTTGTTCCTCTTCAGGACAGATGTTTCCTCCTTTGTAATAATGGCATACTGCTTAAAGGACTTAGTTTTGGCGCCCATTAATTCTGCAAAAAATAGTCACCCTCTCAGTTGTGGGGAAAATATGCTCAGGGTATTGCAAACTAGCAGACAATTCTGATACCAAGATAGGTGTCAAAATATATGCACTATAGGCCCCTAGTCTAGTTAACTAGCAAAAGGAGCAAAATGAGCAGTGAAAATATTTTTAATTACTTACCCTTTTGATCTTACCTCACAAAGTACTAAATTAAGGGGTGCTAATAATTGTGGGACACTTGGGAGGAGATTTGAGAAAAATTATTTCCTGTTAAGATTTTTTTTTTAAACAACCATTGTACTTCAAATAAAGGTTACATTTTTAGGAGTATTTTGAATGAATGCTCAAAAGGATAAGCAATAAAGAATGTTTTTATAGTTGTTACTCATGTTTACAAGAGGTGCCAATATTTGTGGAGGGCACTGTATGACAAACTACCTGTATATTTAATTTCAAGGACCTTTATTTCTGTGAGTGACACTAATGGGTATTACAATTTTAGTACAAATACAGAACTCATCCAAACTTAAAATATTATGAGCTTAATGCATTTTGTACAACATTTTGTGCCAAACTAACTTGTGAATCTACTGTTGTCATAGCACTATTTACCTTGTAAAAAAACTACAAAATGTTATTTCAGGGACTTGAAAAACAGTCAAACAAATAGAAATGGTGATAGAACGATCCTACTATGATATGCATAGTTAATTAACATGGTACAGGTGGCATGTAGCATAAATTAATCACTGATTTTATCACTGAAGATGACACATTTATCTTTAAATGTAAAAAACAACCTATGGTTCACTGGTTGATGCTATACTGTACAAGATGTCAAAGCAGATTGCTTTATTAAATGACAGTTGGTATATATACTCAATTTAATGAGACTTTACAAATTCACTTTTTTTTAATTAGGCTTTTGTTTTTATGTACTAAAGCTATACAGGTACACAGTATCTGAATTGCAGCATAGAGAGTCAATTTCCTGATAAGAAATAAAGACCATTTCCCACCCAAATTTGAAAAAGAGATGTTTTGGAATGAGATTCTACATGATGCTTTTAATTCATCATACTGCCCTGGTGCCATTTTTGCTTCGTCGCGTGACTGTCATTAGGCAGATACCATCCTCTTGAGTGACCTCTTCTTTCGGCTGGCCGTGCCTGCGGGACGGATCTTTATCTCAGTGAAGTCCAGTGAAGTGAGGTGGCCCTTCCACGGCTCCCAGTTAACCCCCTGGTGGACACAGTTAAAAGTGCGATTTAGCCTCTCTGTGACATTCAGCAGAAAGCGGAAACAAATCATTACCGTTTTTCTCCACTGAATGAGACAAATACATTATATACATGTCCACAAGTCATGTACGTGACGAAACAACATAGAAAAGCAGTATATTTTAAGTGCTGTATTCTACCAGTCATGTGGACTACAACACCAAATAGGAATTTCTGCTATGCTCTACTGAGGACATTTGAGCATTCACATTTTATAAGAAACATCTACCACACTGGAGCTCTTTGTATGTTTACAATTGTGGCTCATTTTGCAAAAACAGTACAGTTTACAAAACTCTAGCTCATTTGTTGCTGTACAGTCTACTAAATCAAATCAATGGAAAGAGACTGCCATTGGACCACCACGGACGAGATAATATTTGGGTGGCCTATCATTATCAGTACAGCAGTGACATTTACATGGCAGTGGAACGGCAGGGTGCATGGCAATATTTCAAGTATATCAGGCACAGTTATATTAAAGGGGATTTTACATGTCAGTGTCACTGCTGGGTTGAGAACACTCTGCTAACCAAAGAAATTTAGAAACAAAAGCAATTCTCTGGTCAGAAACTTATCACTGATGAAGAGCTACAGGATGACTAACAAATTGTGTATTGAAAACAACAAGGTGCATTTTCAAAGTCTACACCAGAAAGGTGGACTTACAAGCATGGTTAATAAAGTGGCCTTTATAAAAAGTGGTAAATATACCATGAAAGGGTAAAACTATATGAGCATTTCAGAAGTATGACTCTAATAGGCTAATGAATAAGCAGATTAACATTTGAAGATTCACAATGTATTACTGGTTGGTGACATGATAAGTAGCTTTATATTTTACATTGCAATCTCTCCAGTTAATAATCCCTGTAAAGCAACTTTTGGTAGTGATACAGCAGAGGCCTGAAATACTGATATAGCAGTGTTGATACAGCAATGTTTATGTCTACACTTCAAAATAAATTCACATTTCATCTGATACAAAACTGTCAGTTTCATTCTCCCCTGAAAGCCTTGCACAAGTCAGGAAGCTTTTTAAACTCACAGGGGAGTTGGAACAGAAACCTCCTGTTTTCACTAGTTTGAGGATTTATGAGAGCCGATAGATTTAGGACATTGCTCTTCTTTCAAATAACTGGACTTTTCCCACTGAGCTTTTGAGACTGCAGCTTCATAAACATTACTGTTCTGATAGCTCCCCCTGCTGATCATTACCCTACATGTACAAGGGAGCACTTCTAAAAAATGCTGTATGGCAAAATCCTTAGTGGTGAATTATCATCTCCAACGTTTAATGAAATCCAGCTGGGGTCAAATGAACATGAGGAACGGACCAATATAAATGGTCTGAAATTACTTTAATTATATTACTTTATTATAAACACTCACTCTGTATCTGCATTCACTGGCCATTTTATCTGGTCATACCATATACAGATACTAAGACCAGTTTTTCTTTTTCCTATAAAACTACTGTTTTAGAGGTAACAGGTTTTATTTCAACAGTGATAAAATGTACATTATTGAAGTAAATCATAGACTGGTGGTGGCCCTGCTCCTGGAGATCTACCTTCCTGTATACTTTAGCTCCAGACCCCACCTGATCATCTAATTATTACCTTCAGAAGTCCTTGATCAGATTCATAAGGTGTTGACTGAATGAGGATTTGGGTTGGAGGTGAAACCTGCAGGAAGATAACTCTCTAGGAGGTGGGTTGTTGACCTCTAGCTTAGACCAATGTTTTAATTAGGTGCTCCTGGGTACCCACTGGCCTGCACAGTTTCAGCTATTCCCTCCCCAAACACACCTGATCCAGTCCCTTAGCGAATTATCAAGCACTTCAAGAGCTGAGTTAGGTGTGCTAGGGGATAGGGTGATGATGGATAGCTGAAATCATGTTAGCCAATGGGTCACCAGAAGCAAGATTACAAAACCACTGCCAAAGACCATGACTTTACTGAGCAAAAGCATTTTTTTTCCTTCCTGCATGCTGTAAGACTTTGATTTGACTACAAAAAATACACTACACCTCCAACATAACTGAGCGTCTAGCTCTGCAGAGGCAATATCTTACCATACTGTGTCTGTTGTCCCCAAATTTCCCATTCAGGTTAGCTAAGTGGCAGTTCTTGTACCACCAGGCACCACGGTGAGTGAGTGCGCAGTTGCCCAAGGCAATGTCGTTATCTGAGTCCATTGTAGAGAAAGGTCTGCCCTGGTGGTAGGTCATGGCATCACCTGTGGAAATACACAAAAAGCAAAACTAATTAAAAGGGGTTACTCTTTGCCAATGTCAATGCTTCTGGATTTCTTACAGGACAACTGTGTCTAGCACTTTTTACCAGCCTACCTGCATTTCCTCTGTAGTTGCCGACAGTCAGCCTAAACTTCTGCTTAGATGTTCCTACTTTGAAGTCATCATAGACAGCAAAGGCGCGTTCAGTTCCTATTCCCAGATCAAAGCGTACTTCATATCGGGTTGGAGTGTTGGTCAGCTCATGCAGTTTCTCCAAACCTCGAGAACACAACATAAAAATCAGGACAGCTTATATCAAATGCTTACACTGTGAAATAAGAGCTGTGTGAGGATACAGACATCAGCTAAACACCTGTCTAAACAGAACATGATAACAAAACTTCTTCCAAGCACAAGATATGTAACATACGTTTACTTAGCTACTTCAAATGTTTGTGTTTCATGTCCTAGAGTTTCCCTAAATTCCACTGCTACATATACAACTTACAATCACTGTCCACTATAATAGAAATAGCCACCATTCTCAGCATAGCAGTGAAACTGACAAGGTAGTGACATGGTACATACAAACATCATTGCCACCCAAAATATGACTGAAATAACTGTACATTATCAGGTGGACCTGGCCTTCTAATGGCCAGTGAGAGTACATCACAAATGTACTACAATCAGTACAATATCATTTTATTCTTACTGTTGTATAACTCTTTATAAAGTTATATACAACAGTAAGAGTAGTTATATTTGTAGATTTGTTCATCTGAGGTGTCCATTTAGAACTCACCATTGTTTCATGTATGAAATGCTTAACTATTGCAGCCCAAATCTAGAAGGCAATTTTCACTAGGTTCAGTTCATCTTCAAATGTGTTTATTTTAATTGTCCTTTTTGTTCCATGTGGATCCTCATATCCACTCAGACATATGCAATATCCTTTTTTTCTTTGTCCCCAGAATTTTCAAAGAAGTTGGATGTAGGTCATTTCAATACAAAGCTTCTTCTGACTGGAATAATCTTCCTCTTTTCCTGAGATCTCTTACTTCATTCTGCTATTTCAGGACATCTTTGTTTTCTCATCTTAAAACAACTTGTTTCTGTTTTTAATTTAGGTACTTCCAATCTTGAGTTCATTTGTAGCACAATAATAAACCGCTTCTATTGCCCTTTATGCTGATATAATTTATCTACTATCTGGGTTATTGTAGTTTTTTCTAGGTTGTAGTTTTTTTCACCCTTGTACAACAGCCAAGTGCTGGGGTGTGGGTGGGAGAGGGTGAGAGCTGTTTTCATTTGTCTGCAAGTGTTTTATAATTTTCTATTTGTGTTTATGTTCAAGGGGGTCCAATGAGACGCTACATCTCAAGGGGCTATCCTTTCAATAAAATCAAATTCAACAAGATGTTCATACCAAGCCAGAACTCATCTGTCATTTCCCCAAAGCCTTGCATATACTGTCTCCAGCGCTTCATGAAGTCAAGTTTGCCAGTGTTGCGTCTCTGGAAAACCTGAGTTAGATAACAGAGCCATAGATAAGAGATGTTATTCAGACACATAGTTCTCAAAGTAGCAAGTAGTAGACATATGGACATATGGTGAAAAAGAGTTTGTATCTGCATTATTATAAGGCTACATTCCACTAGTTATATACCAGATAAGCCTAACATATTTGAAAAGGGATTCAATTATGATAATTCACTTACAATCCAGCCACCGCCATCGGTTGTCATATCGCAGTACACTTGCAATGGTCTACTGCGGTTGTTGGCTACATAGATTGTGTAAACTCCACTCTCCACGTTTCCATTCTTCATGATCTGTGTACAGTCCATTGGGAAGGGGTAAGCTATACCCACTGTGAAGACCCAAAACAGTATTAGATTATATGAAGTGCATCCATCAAAAACACAGATGGCCAGTTTCCCAGATAGTGACCCATAGTTCACAAAACACAACATTATAAACTAACATTCTTGACTGTCTAATGGTGTCAACATAGAATAATCAAATTCACTTAAGCATGTGCATTATTTTTCAAAAAGATAACAGACAACTATTGAGAACATACTGACGGTACAGATGGTTTACTCACTGGTACTGAATGTGGTCTCCACCACTTTACTCCTCTTTGAGCCCCTGTAGGCTTTGAGGGCCACAATATACTTTTTTCCCATGGATAGACCAGAGAGGGTCAATTTGGTCTCTCCTGCAGTAAACTTCTTCTCAACTGTCTGAAAAAAAATCAATTATTTTTAAAAAGTAACAAATAATTTTCTATGTATCTACATGCATCAATGGGAATAAACACTTGAAAGGAACAATCACTAACACGGTGGTCATACAGTTTTAGTTTTAAAAATAGTTATATTAGAAGGTCCAAGTTAGTTAGATATTCTGAAAGGATTATCTAGGTTAACATCACAGTGAGAGTTAGGTTTAGGGAAAACTGAAGGTGAATTTAATTTAATCTGCAACATACCTGCACGCTGCCATCCTCTGGCCTGTAGGTGAGGATGTAGCCTTCAATGCGAGCCTGAGGAGTTTTCCAGGATAAAGCTGCAGAGTCTGTCTTGACATCAGCAGCTTTCAGATTCTTAGGAGCATCAATTTCTGGAAATACCAAACCAAGTTTAAGATCAGCAATGTCTTCATTTCAGAGAATAACCATTCATTTGTGTTCAAAATTAAGGAATTGTTGACATGGATGGAAAATTTCCAAAGTTCAGGTCCCACACATTAACCTCAGTTTCAAACTTTTAAGAGAAGTATTTACATCAAAGATTACATTCAAAGAAACCTTCCTGAGGAACCTGTAGCAAACGCTAATAATGATGGTTCCTTTTTAGTTTGACATTATATGGTGAATTTATACAGCCACGCTGATTGCCAGCTGGGATTAACAACCTGTCTCAGTCTCTGTTGCAGCTTTTCTGCTAGAGCGAGAGCCCTTGATGGCCCAGACGTAGACTGTGTAGGTGACTCCAGGCCTCAGACCAGCGAAACTATAGGAGCTGCTGTCTGCTGCCACTTGGACCTCCTGACTGAAGTCATCAGCAGAGCTGTAGCTCAGCATGTAGCCATCAACATCTGCTTGGACTCTGTCCCACGACACCAACGCAGAGTTCTCAGTCACCTCTCTGGCCAAGAGGTTAGTAGGAACATCTAATTCTAGAAAGTCATTGTGTACAACAGGTTAATTTTCATATAATTACTTTCTACAATCTACATTAACAGCATGCAACATTTAACAACTCATCAGTGGACGTGAAAGGACTATCAACCAGGCACCTTAGTTATCATCTTGGCAAGTCTAATTTTTGCTGTATTCTACATTTATACATAGTAGAGATTTTGAACATTTGTTGACAGGATAATAAATAACTTCCAAGCTTCCAATTAATCTTGTGTTAAAATAACATTATCATTTATAAGGCAATAACCTAGTGGCATCTTTTATGTTTCTTCTTTCTCCTTTTAACAGAAAAAAGATCACGCATAAAACACTAAAAGTCTTTTTGTCCAGCCAGATAAACTGTCACAGAATTTCAGCATTGTCCTTCAACTGAATTGGCACTTTTTTCTTAATTATTTGATCTGGAAAGAGAAGTTTCAGAAACCTGTCTCAGCCTCAGTCACAGCTTTTCTGCTAAAGCGAGAGCCCTTAATGGCCCAGACGTAGACTGTATAGATGACTCCAGGCCTCTGACCAGTGAACCTAAAGGAGGTGCTGTCTGCTCCCACTCTGACCTCCTGACTGGAGCCACCAGCAGAAGTGTAGCTCAGCATATAGCCATCAACTTCTGCTTGGACTCTGTCCCACGACACCAGTGTTGAGTTCTCCGTCACCGCTCTTGCCAAGAGGTTAGTAGGAGCATCTAGTTCTAGAAAGCCATTTGTACAACAACAGGTTAATGCACTTCTATTCTCAGGATCAGAATGTACAAAGAACTTGAGTCTGGAGGTAATGCTGCACAAAAACATTATGGGGACAGGCTTTCAACAGGAAAACATGGGCTTGGCATGCAGGTAATGAGGGACTGGATATGATGTGAAAGATTCTATCTTCTAGCAATTCCTTTGCTCTCACCATGGATGAAAAAAAGTTAATCTTTAAAGTCTTTAAGAACCAGCACCAGTCCTAGATATGACTGAAAAAATGGGGCCAGGTAAACCAGAAGATGAAGCAAATTATATAAGACATGTTTCAGAACTTGTCTCTGCCCCTGTTGTAGATTTTCTGCTAGAGTGAGAGTCTTTGATGGTCTAGATGTAGACTGCATAGATGACTCTAGGCCTCAGATTAGGGAACCTGTAGGAGGTGCTGCCTGCTTTCACTCTGACCTCCTGATTGGAGCCATCAACAGAGCTGTAGCTCAGCATGTAGCCACCAACATCTGCTCGCACTCTTGTCCCATGACACAAATGCTGAGTCCTCTGGCCAAGAGTTTTGTAGGAGCATCTAGTTCCAAACTCATTTATACAACATGCACTATAGATCTACATTAGTAGCATGCAGTTTTTGATTATTTGCTTATCACTGGAAGTAAAAGTTTTGATTTTCAAGAAAAGGACTGCATTGTAGACCATACACCTTAGTGAAAATCTTGAAAAGCCACATTTTCAGTGTAATTTTTGCTGCATCTTAAATGTATATTTTGGAGAGCTACGATTTTTAACAATTTGCTTCCAAACAAATTCTTTTTCAAAACAAAAGGGAAAAAAGTAGGAGTTTTTTATCTTCTGTGGACAGAAAAAAAACACTTTAAAAGTTGCAAGCCTTTTCCCCAACCAGATAAACTGTCACAAAAAATGTCAGTGTTCTTTTCCTAGTGAGCTGCCAAATTTTTCTCACTTATTTGATTTGGGAAGACATGTTTAAGAAACCTGTCTCAGCCTCTGTCGTAGCTTTTCTGCTAGTATGAGAGCCGTTGATGGCCCAGACATTGGCTTAATAGACAATTCCAGGCCTCAGACCAGTAAACATGTGGCTCCTACTCAAACCTTCTGACTGGAGCCATAAGCAGAGGTGTAGCTTAGCGTGTAGCCACAACATCTTTTCGCACTGTGACACCAACGTTTAGTCTTCTGTTATCTTTCCGGCAAAGAGGTTAATAAGTGCATTTAATTCTACAAAGCCATACGTTCAATGGATTAATACACTTTTCTCAGTATCAGCATGTATAAAAAGATGTTGAGTCTGGTGGCACTGCTATGCAAAAAAAGACAGGCTTCCAACAAGAGGTCATGAGCTTTGTATGCAGGTAATGAGGGACAAGATACGATTTACTTGAGAGATTCTATCTTTAGGAAATTACCTTTTCTCTCACCTTTCTACCTTTCTGGGCAAACCATGGTTAAGAGACACAGGCCCTGATTTCTGTATCTGCTGGCAGGCTCCTATATAAGCACACACTCAGCACAAAGAAAGGAATTTTAGATGTAGCGAGCAGAATTTTATTCATGGAATATAGTGCCTCAGACATGAGATTCACAGAGATTTTGACTCATAGAATAAGTTTGCTTCCAATTTTTGTTTTCAGACCAAAAGGAAAAAGTAGACGTTTTTATCTTCAATGCATAGGAATAAGAAGCTTTACATGTCGCAAACCTTATTTGTTCAACCAGATAAACTGTCCAACAGAGAAACTGTCAAACAGAGAAGATATTTTTCCAGTGAGTTGCCAATTTTTTCTTTATAATTCCATCTGGAAATACATGTTTCAAAAACCTGTCTGAGCCTCTGTTGTAGCTTTTCTGATGATTGAGAGCCTTTGATGGCTCTGATGTACATTGTGTAGATGACTCCAGACAAGTGAACCTGTAGGAGGTGCTGTTTCACTGACTGAGTCAGAGATGACTGAGTCACCTCTGTGGCCAAGAGTAGGACCATTCAGTTCTTGGGTACAACAGGTTATGTCCTACAGACAAATCTATATAAGTGTTAGGTAAGCTCACCTTGAAAGATTGCTAGTAACACTTAATTAGCTTGTTACTTAACTAAAAAAATCACCTTAAACCAGTTTTGAACCTCTGACAGTCATATACATTAATAATTCAGAAGTATAATTAACCTAGAGTGTCAATACATACTCTCTCACGTCAACATTACAGAGTCCTCTGCTTTGGCCAAGAATTTAGAAATTCTTGGTCAGAGCAGGGATAGGGATGCATCAATACAGTTTTTTCTTTTGACCAAGTACGAATACATATTTTTTAGTACTCATCGATAGCATGTTCGATACCACGCTGCGTAATCTACTTAGAATTAAGTAGGTGTTGGGGCGATGGTGAGCTGGCAATGAAGTAGGATGTGCTGAGAAAGGCTCCTGCCTGACTTCCTTTAAACTCTTGTTTTATTGTGTACATTTGATGCAAAATCTGCTTTTCATTGCATAAAGAAAACTTTGGAGTGAGTCTTAGCTATAACTGTTGCGTCTGTGGCCGCCAGTCTCTGTAAATACAAAATACAAAATCTCTGCGTCACAAATTACTGCAGATCGCTGTGATTCACCACCAAGCTCACAGACAAAGTCAAAAACAGACACTGAGTCTCTGAAAGCTTTTGTCCTATTCTCATTGAGAACAGACATTTCTGCTGTTAGTTTGAGCTAAAAAATGCATTTGTTGAATAATTTGGCTCTCTATAGAGCAAGCTAAAAAGAAGTTAAATCTGAAATTGTAAACAGCACAAAGGCCATTGAAATGGCCTTCTTCCACATCATTATCAATGACGTGGACGAAGGCCTGTCATCACGGTTGGGTGAGGTAACTGCACTACAGACCACAGTGGCCAGACTAAAAAACAGATAGCTGAATTGAGGGAGTAGGGCAAGGACATAGAAGGGAGGATGCGCAGATACAATATCTGAATCATGGGTATTGCAGAAGAACTTGGCTCAAGTTCACCTGTGGCAGTTTCCAAGCTTTCTAAAGCTTTCTAACTTCACTATTACCAGGACTGCGTTGGTGTGCTGTGTTGAGCCCAAGACAACAGTCTGCTTCATTACAAGGGAGAACAGGTTGCCATCTTTCTAGACTACACTGTGAGTGTTGCCTTAACAGGCAGGTACTCATTTTTTAACATAAGACGTCTTTTAAATATTCTTTACAACCCATCTTCATCCATCACCCCAGAAATTCTACTATCTCTCTTTTGTACTATAACCCAGTCTTTGAAAACTCATTACTGCCATTAGTGGCAAGAGCTAGTACTACAACTTAATGAACATGGAACTGGAGGGTTCCTGGATATCTGGATCACACATAATTACAAAGACCTTTACAAGACCAATTTTCTACCCTTGATATCTTGCTTGAAACAGGACATCAAACACTGGGATTTGCTACCCCGATTAATACGATTAACATGAATGTAGTACTTGGATTTTTATATTTGTTTGAAAATCTTATTTTCCCAACTAAATCTTTTAGATCCGTAGATACATTAATATCAACCTTCATCTGCAATAAAACCCCCTCTCATACGGAAATGCATATGCAGAAGCCAAACTCTCAGGGTGCTATGGCATCCCCAAATCTTCGGTTCTACTGTTGGGCAGCCAATATTAAAGTGTTGATGTACTGGATGAAGGATGCAGATGGTTTTAATACCCCCAAATGGTTAATCTTAGAAAGCGGAACCTGCAATGTCACCTCCTTACCTGTATTACTGTACTGGAGTATCTTTTGTTATCACAATAATCCCATTGTTGTACAACCAGTAAAGTTTTGGAACCAGTTTAGATGGTCATTTTCACTTAAAAGTCCCTCAATATTTGCCCCAATAGCTAAAAATCATATGTTTAACATTAGATGGAGCACTTTATATCTAGTCCAAGAGTGGGATCTCATCATTACATGACCTCTATACAAATAATAATTTTGCATCCTTCTAACAACCGAATTTTTTTTTTCCTTTTTACCCTCCCACATCCTTGATAAACTCTATTTTTCAACTTGGGAAAGACTTCAAGCAGTACCTTGGTAGAATATGGGAGCTTCTCATTTGACACAAGTTGACAGCTTTAGATAATCTTAAAAGCAGGTGGGAGGAGCACTTAGATGAGCAAATTCCAGAAGAAATCTGGCAGAAAATTATTCGAAGAATGTACTCATCTATCTGTCAACGGCATTCTGTTATACTATTGAAGGTAGTACACCGACTTTATTGGTATAAAGTTAGACTGTCCAAAATTAAGACCAAATCTGTATCATACATGTAATAGGTGCAAACAAGATCCTGCAAGTTTACTATGTATGTTTTGGACATGACCAAGATTACATTCTTTTTGGCTGTCTATTTTTGATACTTTCTCTAACATTCTGGAACAACCAATAGACTACTCTCCTTATATGGCATCATTTGGTGATGCACCACCAGTTGCCCAACTAAATAACTACAAATGCAACATACTGGCCTTATTCTCAATGGATCAAATAGGCTATGCAACATCTCAAGCTAGAGAAGCTCGAAGAAGATATTCTCTCCAAAGATCTGTACAGAGATTCTATAGAATTTGGCAACCGTTCCTGACATTTGTGAAAAATATGGAAGCCAAATTGTAACCTCATAATGTTTATTTATTTTAAATCACTACGTACCTTAGCTTTAATACAATTTTGGAATATGTCGAAGTTTATCTCATTGATGTAGGTCTGCAGGGCGGGTGGGATGGGTGTGTTCAGGCAAATGGGACTTTTAACCATTAAATCATTAAATTTAGCTAATTTTAAATAAAGTGCATTAACAAGCTACACTATATTATTTAACGCCACCTTGGACTCAATAGCACTGCTGTGGAGAAAAGCAGGTTTTGTTCCGCGTCAGAAAAGCACTTCTGTACAGCTGTAGTTTTGCTCCTTATCTGTCTTTCAACAACAGTGTCTGTAGCATAGTGACAGCAGGAATCCCATATGAGGCTAATGCTTCCAAGGAGCCCGCTATGCATAGAGTATTGAGCAAAGTGAAAACTAAGCAGTGCTGCTAACTCTGAGCACTGAAACTAAATCAGGCGGTGATGCACACAGTAGGAGAATATGGCCTCTCTACAGCCTGTTTTACAACAATCACAGTATTAGCGTGTATAACTCACGTTTCTATTCAGTCAAACAGAGTAAAGTCGGCACAGATGGACTTCGGTAGCAAATGTCGAATTTTTTTTTTGTCTCCATTTCATAAGCCTACATGTCTCCACCCATACTGGGGAAGTGGCTGTGACTGTGTGCTTAAAACAATCTAAAAACACACAGAGTAGGCCTGGTGGGAATATGCCAAAGCGGAAAATTTAAAGTGACCGACTGTATGACTGTCATGAAATCGGTCAGTGTGTGCAGAGCCACCTTCACTGCGTTTGTTCATTAGTGCAGTAACGTACACTCGGCTTATGTCACACGGTATCAGCTGGTATTGGAATGTTGGTGTCATTAATTTTTATAAGAATGAGTAAATGAGTGCAGTATAGGCCCAATACCCAATACTAGTATCGGTATCAATGCAGCCCTAGTAATGTCTACGTCTGGGGAAGCCAACGTTGTATTTGGAGTAGTAACTTAACAACAATTAGTTAGACTGACTTAAGCGAGCTTAACATGCATTTCAGGATACAGATCATAGTCACAGATTCACAGTCTATAAAAAAAAAAGGAAACAAATTTTTTTACATTTAGTTTTACATTTATTTTTCTCACTAATTTTTTAGTGATGGCCAATTCCAAACACTTGCTAGGTCTCCCCCTATGAAAAGATACTATTATGCTGTGAGTTTGAGGGCTAGCAAGGCTTCCTTCAAAACACATGAAGACAGACACAACTGCTGCTAAAACATCATCATTAAACAAGATAAACAAGCTTGGAGGATAACACTAACTGCCTATTCTGTTACATCAACTAACAGAAGCCCACATTGTCTACCAACTTGCTGAGAGATTGGGGAAAGGGAGAGAGGTACATGTTCTAGCAGGCATGAAAAAAGGATTTTTGGGCAGAATTATGCTTTTTCAAGAAGCAAGATTATAAATGGTGCACAGTAGCTTAGCACTAATGTGGCATTTTCCCAGAGTCTCATGTGAGGGTCACTGACACACATGTTTGTTCCATCAAACAGGCATGTGGAAGAAAAAGGAAAGGAAAACACAAAGAGGTTATGCACCTTTATTCCCTGTTCTCAGATCACTGCACCCATGAGGCGTCCCACCATTTGAGTTATGAGGCTAGTCAATGTCTGTTCCGTTTTCCTTTCCATATGGTGAGGCCCACAGAAAGGACTATCACTCTTTCCTATCAAAGCTGTACCATTAAGTCCCTGTACCATAAACCTTACCTGTTGCACTTAAGATCACAGTATCTTATTTTAGCAAACCTATTGAGTCCCTAATGCTCAGTACTAATGGTATGCAAAGAAGATACCCACAATATTTATAACACAGATGTGGGCGACTCTTTGGGTTGGGTTTCCTAAGACTCACTCAGCTGGTAACACATTTAGAGGGGCTATTTTGCAGGCTTGAGAGATAGTTATGTTCTGCTGCCTTGGAGATATTTAACTTTAACCTTTATCTTTTCATGACAGAAGTAAAAGCCAAAGACATATTTACTGTACTGACACATAAAACAACGATCGTATTAAAAACTTAATTCCTCAGTGTAGTTTTGTTTATTCTGTTTTAGTGGCAGAGGGAAACTAAATGAATTTAAAAAGGTAAAAATCATTACGTTTTGTGACCATACAAGCTAAAAAACAAAATAGTACACTCAATAAAGCTATTGAATGAAATAAGAAGTCCTATTCATTCAAGAGCCGGGGAGTTGAACCGGCCATGATGGGCTTTCCCGAAGAAGCGTTTAAGAGGAGGAAATAAAAACAGCAAGGCCCAGGCCTGGTGCCCTAAGCCTTGGGGGGAACAGCTTACCCATCTCAGCCTCTGTAGAGCTCTTTCTGCTGGAGCGTGCACCCTTGTAAGCCCAGATGAAAATGGTGTATAGGACACCAGGCTGCAGAGAGATCAGCTGGTGGGATGTAGCATCTGCTCCTACTTGGATCTCCCGGCTGGTGCCCTCAGGAGAGCTGTAGCTCAACATATAACCATCAATCTCAGCACGGACCCTGTCCCATGTCACAGTTGCTGAGTTCTCTGTAACCTCTCTGGTGACCAGGTTATTCGGAGCATCAATATCTGAGGGAAATTGATTTGTGAAATTAAATTGTGTTAACTACCTCACAGAGAGTTTACCTCCAGACACGTTAACTAGGAACACTTCTACCCCTGTCTTTCTGAAGCATAGAATCATTAACGTTAAACAACTGTTCTTTAAAATGTAAGAGAATCAAATCAAATCAAATTTTTTTTTATGACAACTCTGTAACAATGGTGACAGAGAGTGTGGGCAAATTGCATTTTGGCTTAATTCCAAGGGAATTTTTGCCTGATTCTCAAAACATCTAAAAAAATCTGACGATCAGGATCAAGGTACAATACAGCAGACTATGAAAATCCTGAAGAAGAAATTTTCTATGAAGTTTTTCAATTAATACCTTGTTAGCATGGGGTGTGTGCAAATTGCACTTTCGGTTTAATGCCTAGTACAGTATCTCCTGATTGCAAAATGTCTCAAAAATTTGACAGTGAGATCTAAGAAACAATATAAAAACTATTATTATCCTGAAGAAGAAGAATTTTTGTGTAGATTTTTTTATTCTCAAAAATCCTGTTAAAGACACAATATAACAAACAAGAAAAATTTGAAGAATTAGATTTTTTTTTACTTTTACTTTAAAAAGCATGGGCTTCTTAGTTTTGTTTATTTTTTTCCTTAAAACACTTAATAGTGACCCTAGAACAAATTTTCACAAATCATACGTGTAACCCAGTGTAACTCATAGTGTAAACAATTTTTGCAATTCTGAATAAAATCAAAAAGTCGAAAATCTTAAGAAGAAGACATTCTGCGGTAGCCTTTTTTTTTTATCTGACCCTGTGAACTATGCATGAAAGATTACAAAGATTGGGCACACAGACCTTTTGAGCGCCAAGGCTGATGGAAAAAAGCAAAATGTCTTACCTGTGAAACGTGAAACAAAATTTAACCTCCTATGAAAATCATGAAAAACCCTCTTATCATAATATAAATGACTATATGGTCCTAAAAAGGGTTCTCTTTTGGCCCTTCTTCTCTGACATCAAAATATCTTAAGATTCATTCACCAAGACGAGGTAGAAAAATTACTAATTATTCTTTCTGTCTAAAGGTTTTAAATTATGAGATTTCTTTTAATTAAGACATTTGATATAGACAATTATTTGTAGGAATTTTTATGTAGATAAAAGGAAGCTACACATATACTGTGTATTTGAAACGATACGCATATGTTTGATAGAAAATGTTAATAGCAAAGTTCCAGTTCCGTGTTTAGGTTTAGAAGAAATGTTATTTTCCCCCTCCAAATAATATAATTTTAAGTATCATAATAGTGTTTTTTTTTATAATAAAAACATTTTCAGTTTATTTTTACATTGTTTCAGCTCATAAATTTTATTGCTCTGTATCATATTCATTAATGAGCATTTTTATAAATTCTTGAGTGTGTCTTAAATCTGACTGTCAGATTTTTGAGAATGTTTGAGAATCAGGTGAAAGTATCATAACAATTAAGCCAAAAGTGTAATATGCCTGAAAATTCTACAGTATCAGATGCCAGATTCCCAAAAAATGTTTACAGTAAAATTTCTTCTTCAGGATTTTGAGAGTTTGTTATATGTCTTAATCTTCACTGTCAGATTTTTAAGATGTTTGAAAATCAGAAGAAAATGCTATAGGAAATAAGCCGAAAGTGCAATGTGTCCACACTCTATAGTCTTAGATGCTGTTTCCAGGCATTTTACACTTTTGGCTAAATTCCTATGATATTATGTCCTGATTTACAAACCATCTCAAAAATCTGACAGTCAGATTTAAGTCACAATAAATCAGATTAAATCAGGTCTGAAAGCGTGGGGTTTAAAGTTGTGACTCTGTGGCAGTTAGATACTACTGGCACAAACAGAACTGTAAAATTACATTTATAAAACGGAATAGTTTTTAGTAAAGTAGTTCCGGCCCTAAAATCTTATTGGCTGAGCCGCGTTCCAAGCTGTTGTAAAATCCACAATAAACGCATACCTATGAATGACTCACAACAACTGAACTCTGTATTACTGCGCCACGGCATGAAAAAACCCTTGAGCTGTTAATGGAATAATCTTTCACTTTCATGCTGCTTGCATGGACCAGCTAGTATAGTGATGATGTAAGAACCTGTTTTTTGTTTAAACTGAGGGGCTGGCAACCAAAGTTCTTATTAAAGTTGAATTAAAGTACTTACGGTATGATGAACTGTAAAACGGCAGTTTAAAAGTCCAAAAAAATGTTACTTGAATGGATTACATGCTTCAAATGTCCGTGTTTCAGTCAGAAGTAGCATCAAACCCAGGCTGAATCCCAAACGGCTCTGTATTGCCTAAATAGTGTGCTATGAAAGTTTAGAAATTTTAGGTTCTACAGCCAAACACTGCATCATTGGTCGAGTATGGATGTGGCTGAGTCCCTAATGACTATTTCTAAGCTATATTTTGCACAGGTAGGGTGCAGGATCCAGTATTTAAATTCCAACATATTGCACTTTGTAGGGAACAGGAAGCCATTTGAGATTCAGACCTGCTGGATTAATGCTATATAAGACTCGCAGTGGTAATTTGGTGACCAAAAAGTTTGGACCATTTCCATTTGACTATTTATAAGATGTTTACTTAGTGTGAAGGCCGGTTGGCATTGATGTTACAATACATTAGAAGTAGCTGTAAAATTTAACTGCAGAATTTGGAAGATGCTTACAAGAGACATAAACAATGGATTTACAAATGTGTGCCGAAATGGATGTAGATATGGCCAGTGAATGTACATGACCATTTCCATTTGAAACAATAAGAATTTAAAAAAATATGCACAAGTATTGCCCCATATGTGATACTGAACAGAGTAACACTATGTTTACCTAAAAAGTACTAAGATAATAGCAGACTACTATTAACCAATAAAGTGTCTATGCTACCAAGCTCAGAACCATTCTGTATGACCTCCCCTCATGGAGGCTGACTCATTATACAGTCTAATGGCTGTGGGTGGAATGACCTCACATAGCACTCCTTGGCCCAGTGCAATTGTATCAACATGTATAGGGAAAAGAGAATGAGCATCTTAGTGCACAATATACAGAATTTACATCATCTCAAAAAAAGAAAAAGAGGTGAAAAAAAGAATCAATCCAATTCACTCCTGTAACAAATCAATCCTGAAATAGCACACACTCACATTGTGTGATGTTGTTAGCTTTGGAGTAGTGGAGTATTTAAGAAGTATAAGCATGCTATCCTATTATGCTATTTTTATATATTTATAACTACACTTTACTAAAGAAAAAACATCAGATCTGTATCGGCCAATACTTTAATATCTTTAAAGACAAAGTGGAATTTTGTCATCTCTATTTACTGATATACAGTATAAGATATTGCATTTTATGTGGAAACTGTTCATAACCAAGTTGTTGGCTAATCACTTAAGGCAACTCTTCAGTGTCTTCTGCTGCATTTACATTTCTATTGCACATTAATGCACCACAATATGCCATTCATTGGTTTCATCCGATGCAGCCATGTATTGCATGATTGGTCCAGCATGTCAAGTTTGGGGGTATGTCAAAAAGTAGTTTATGAAACACTGGATCCACTTTTTAGATTTTCCTATGTACCATGGAATACCACAGAAAAAAGTTGATATTTTTAAACACAATTGTTTGAAAATATTAATTTAATGATGCATGCTACGTTGACTTTCTGATTATTAATTAATTACATAAACATTGAATTAGCAAGACTACAAGGTATATCAATATTCAACACCACTGGTGCAAAATAAGGGGGTGTGGTAGGGAACATGCTGCTATGGGGGGTCTGTGCCCCCATCACTGACAGTGGCAAAAATGAGAGGTGCCCTATTGCCTGCCCTTCAAATGGGAAAACTGATTGAGTGCACCCTAGGGTGCGCCTTCATACAATAAATTATGGTGATGTGCCCTCTAGAGTGAAAAAAATTTGATAACGTGGAAAAAAAATGTGATGCAGTCCCCTACAAGGTGCCCATCCAATGGTCTAAACTTGAGGTTCCCTGTGGGTGCCCTTCCGATTAAAAAGGGTGCAGATACGAAATGCCCTCTATGCTGCCCCTCATGACAGTGCCCCAAAGGGTGCCCCTCCAGTGGATCAAATGTGATGCAGTGCTATAAAGCATGTCCCTACATGTATGAGAATGTATGAGAAGTTAAATATTAACGTATGTACACTGCAAGTGCTTTTATAGATAGCTGTATCACAAGTTTTAGCCTAAATGCCTAGCTAAAGAGCTAGTTAACTAAACAGGTACCTTGCTTAGCTATGCTAACCTGTAGACTCAATTTGGAAATCTAGCAAAAGTAAACAAAAATCGTTCCCTAAGGAAATAATTTTAGGGTAATTTGCACAAAATGCCCATAGGACTTTAAATTTTGGTGTGAACTGCTTTTTTTATTAACTTAAGAGTGACTATTCCTGACTATGAAGCTCCCAAATCGTCGTGCAGTAGGTCCTCTTCTTATTTTTTCGCCCCAGCCCATCAAACAGCCTAGTCCGCCACTGGTCATGGCTTAAAGTTTCTGAACTGTGTAGCAGTTATGTCTACTGTTTCAATGTCTCTCAGGAGTTTGAGTTAATCAATCAGTCGAGAAATCATGAACATCATGAGTCTCACTGTTTAGAGATGCTTCTGTGCCACTACTCATAGGCATGAACCTCAATAAATTTGCTCTGAATGGTTTTATATGCATTGAATTCAAAAGAATCCAGAAATTAAGCACCGACATAGTTAGAAGAGCTGGTAACAAATATAAGTCATCCATTTTATATGCTGAAACCACAGCACTTCAGAAATGACTCTATTCAGCTCCCTTAAATCTACAAGTGCTTTTCTTGACAAATGTAAAAATCAAGAAATGCATAGCACTGTGTGAAATACCAAATTACATAAAAAAAATTATGTTAAAAAGTTTTTTGCAGTATAGTCATAAATCATCCTTTTAGTCTTAAGACAGTTGCCTTCTAATTTCATGGGTTTTTAAACTGCTTAGCACATTGTGCATCCAGTTACAATATGCTGTCATGGCCAGCAGCACAAATAGTACAGTGAAGCATTCAGTGTCAGCATATTGCAATTTGCTGCCAGGTTTTTGATCTTGTTACCAACATATAGGCAGCCCAGGCTTCAAAGACGAAATATGGAGAATGTGGCAGTGTGTGTGTGTGTGTGTGTGTGTGTGTGAACGGCTAGGTTTACAGAAGGCAGGCAAGCACCAGCAGCGTTAACTGCAAGAGGAAGTGGGAAGACATGCAAAAGCAATCATCATTTGGTGTATTCCTCTGTGACTGCAACAAGGTCAGTGCAGTGTCACCATGCTATCCGCGTCATGGAAATTGATTAATGATGCCTTCCAAAGACACTGGGATCCACATTTCTCACTTAAATGCTGTTTATTATTGCTCCTGTCTTTTTTGACTGGCCTTGATTTGAGCCATGGGTTGGAATACAAAACAACAGCTCCTAGAAGACTGCAAACAACAGCATCAGTCCAATGAATGCCAGTGAAAAAGCTTACATCTTTCTGCCTTTAACTACTTGAACTTGATTGTATCGTAAAAAAGCAGCATCAAATTCCACTGGACAAAGCTCTTAAGAACTAGCCAAGTTTCAGCAGGGAATGGGGATGGAGGAGAGGTACACGATATTGCCAAAAGTATTTGCTCGTCTGCCTTCACATACATATGAACTTGAGTGACATCCCATTCTTAAGCCATAGGGTTTAATATGATGTCAGCCCACCCTTTGCAGCTATAACAGCTTCATCTCTTCTGGGAAGGCTTTCCACAAGGTTTAGGAGTGTGTTTATGGGAATTTTTGACCATTCTTCCGGAAGCACATTTGTGAGGTTAGACACTGATGTTGGACGAGAAGGCCTGGCTCGCAGTCTCCGGTCTAATTCATCCCAAAGGTGTTCTATCAGGTTGAGGTCAGGACTCTGTGCAGGCCAGTCAAGTTCTTCCACACCAAACTTGCTCATCCGTGTCTTTATGGACCTTGCTTTGTGCACTGGTGCGCAGTCATGTTGGAACAGGAAGGGGCCATCCCCAAACTGTTCCCACAAAGTTGGGAGCATGAAATTGTCCAAAATCTCTTGGTCTGTTGATGCATTAAGAGTTCCTTTCACTGGAACTAAGAGGCCGAGCCCAACTCCCGAAAAACAACCCCATAATCCCCTCTCCACCAAACTTTACACTTGGCACAATGCAGTCAAACAAGTACCGTTCTCCTGGCAACCGCCAAACCCAGACTCGTCCATCAGATTACCAGACGGAGAAGCGTGATTCGTCACTCCAGAGAACACGTCTCCACTGCTCTAGAGTCCAGTGGCGGCGTGCTTTACACCACTGCATTCGACGCTTTGCATTGCGCTTGGTGATGTAAGGCTTCGGCCATGGAAACCCATTCTCTGCGCACTGTTCTTGAGCTAATCTGAAGGCCACATGAAGTTTGGATATTTGTAGCGATTGACTCTGCAGAAAGTTGGCGACTTCTGCGCACTATGCGCCTCAGCATCCGCTGACCCCGCTCTGTCATTTTACGTGGCCTACCACTTCGTGGCTGAGTTGCTGTCGTTCCCAATTGCTTCCACTTTGTTATAATACCACTGACAGTTGACTGTGGAATATTTTGTAGCGAGGAAATTTCAGGACTGGACTTGTTACACAGGTGGCATCCTATCATGGTACCACGCTGGAATTCAGAGAGTGACCCATTCTTTCACAAATGTTTGTAGAAGCAGTCTGCATGCCTAGGTGCTTGGTTTTATACACCTGTGGCCATGGAAGTGATTGGAACACCTGAATTCACTGATTTGGATGGGTGAGTGAATACTTTTGGCAATATAGTGTATATTGGTCTATATAGTTTAGCAAACGGGGGAAAGTAGCAGGCTAAACCCTGCACAGTTATTTTACATAACATACTGTCAATACATTCAGAAACTTTGACAATATTTAAAGTAAAATGTGACATGTGGCATTAAGGCTTTCTGTGTGCTACTGTTTTCTATCACTATATAAAAAAGTATAATGAATTGTATGCATTTCTATAGTATAAACTACTGTCTGCTTTTAGATCCTCTAGACCTCTAGGGTTTCTTTAGGCATCATCTTAGAATGTAATACCTCTAATTAGTAAAACAAGACATTTTCAGACATTTTTTGACCTCTAATATGACATCTACTCTAAGACTTTAAAATGATTCTATTCTTAGTTAGTATGTGTGCCTCATTTAAAAGTAAATTGGTGGAATGTCTGTCCTCATTAATGCATTTAAGCCAATCAGGCGTGATAAGGTAGGGTGGGTCTACATAGTCATATGTGGTCTTTATTGTCATTATGAAATTTAGAAAATAATAAATATTAAGACAAATACTTTTGATTGGTACGGTATATGCACATATAGTGTGAGCCTCAAAGACAAGTCCATGTTGATCTTGAATTCCAAAGCATCCATGCTGCACCATAGGATCATGAGGCTAACTAAACAAGTCTATCTAATGATCACCTTTAAAGCATATGTGAGGGTCAGGGGTTAGATGCCAGACAAGGACCCAAAAAGAAGTGTTAACCTCAGAATGAAAACTATTTATATTGACCTTGGGGCTAGAAGAACAAATGACCCATCAACATGAAGATACAACGAATACTCAGTTGAAGCAATACCCTTTTATGAGGGCAGCAACAGTTAAGTCTCTTTTCTGAATGCACCTTAGACCATAATGCCTTTTAAGTCAAAGACCAGACTATGTTATATTTATGTTTTCTGCCATAACCCTATGGACCAGACACTGAATAGGAGTTGTTGGAACACTGCTGCCTTTGAGTTAATATATTAGAGCCCTTGAGTGAGCATAGCTGTGGCCTGAATGAAGTATTTTCTGCAATCTCACTCTTGCTCCTTAATGAGTCCCATAATTCTAAGGGAATGGTCTGATTATTTAGCCAGAATGACTGACCCCAATTACCCTGCCAAGACACTGCCTAAACTATTATTTGTCCCTATAGCTGAGCTAGACCTATTTGATACTTTGATATATCCATGCGATTTAGATAGGGCTTTCAGTATATGTACACTGTCTGAGGTTTGCCAGATGGTAATTCTTGTTAATGAGAGAGACAGATATGTCTAATTGGCAGTGGGGAAAGAGCAGTGTAGTATCTGCAAAATTTCCATTTGGAGTTGGCATAAAGTAAATGTTTACCGAGTTGAAGCTCCCTCAATCAGCAACTATTGCAATGGCCTGTTCCTAATGTTGACACACCACTAAATGTTATGTATGCGTTACCATAACTCAGCATCAGAGCACACATTTCCAAAAACGGTTGGCAAGGAACCAGGTCTAAAATTGTTTTTTTAAAGTGTGGCGCTGAGGCTTCAGCATTGTGGAAATGTCAGTGCTAAAATGAGCACATTTATATGGCTACAGCTCAGACCACTACACACAATAACAAACTGTCCAGAAACCCATCCCTGCAGAGTTCTTCAAAAACATTTGTTGCTCTTGGATTTCTGTGACTTTGAGGGGCAAAGATCATGGAGAAGCTGTACATGTTTGAACAGCTTTGGGTGAAATAAAAAATGGTTTTGCTTTTTTCAGTCAAGGAAGCAATTTCATTGATTTATGGTGACAAGAAAAATATTGGTAATATACACTTTGTCTTGTAAAGGCTGAATTAAACACTGAACCCAGTGAAGGAAATAGTTTTAAAGCATAACATACAAATTGAATCCCAAGTAGTGTCACTAGAAGTAGTAGGCAGTATATGAAATATTTCAAACCTCAGTGTCAGCTAAGAACACTGGATTTCTAATGTACTTCCCATTATACTGTATCAGTCAACATAATTTTAATATTTCTCAGTATTTTAAGTGATGAATTCAGTACTTGAATGTAGAAAAGTATTAGAGGAGGAATGGGTTTACATGGTGCAAAGATTACTATAGCATAATAACCAGTGCTGTGAGTAAAGCATATACTGAAATATCTCGTGATTTTTTTTTGTAACACTGTACTGTAGGGCAGACACACAACACCTATATAAGGCTTCATGACAACTGACATAGATCTACATTGTATTTGCTTAATGCAGACTTAACCTCTGTGTCAGATGACATTGTTGTGTTTTCTGACATTAAGTTGTGTCATGACTCTTTCTGGGGTGAAATGACAAAGACTTTGTAGCTCTGTGTATGTCACAGTGACAAAATGTTTATAATATGACAGAGATTGCCAAAAGGGTCAGGCCAATAGACTGTTGATGGCTGATAGACATCACAATGTTGAGCCAGCATCATGATGCCCATTGTTATATGTCATTTCACCCCCAAAAAAGATAAGATAGGATAATCCTTTATTAGGCCCACAATGGGAAAATTCTCAGTGGTACAGCAGGAAAGGGATAGCAAGGCACTCAAGAAAAGAAAAGAAGTAACAAGATTAAGATTAATTACTTGATAAGATTTTTACAGTTTGTTACTTGTTACTTTATAGACAAAAACATAGATATTTAAAAAAATGAAAGGAGAAAACTACAAAAAGTCAGAAAAAACTCAAAGTGAACTGGAGCTGCTGCAATAGGCTGCCACTCACGTGCCACCATCTTAGTGTCATGACTCAAAAAAAAGTGTCATGACTCAAAAAATCAATGAGACAAAAGCAACCATTATGACAGACAACTTTGGAAATAAACCTTAAAAATGTTCACGTAGTTGTCAGGACAAGCTTATGTATGGACATTACCCTACAGTAAAGTTTATTTACTGTAGAATCAATTACATTGGCAACTAACCTGTGACTCCTGTGGCATGAGAAGCCTTGCCCTCGCTACTTCCTTTGATGGCCTGCACTGATATCTGGTACTCTGTTCCTGGGTTAAGGCCTACGAAAAAAAAAAAAAACACTTAATTCGTACACAAACAAATAACAGAAATGCCTTTTGCATTTGCATTTATGTAGGGCAGCTTTGTTGACGCTTTAATAATTAATGGTTTTGAGGCATGGACTGTGGTGTGCACTATTTAAAGGTTTAGAATCAGTTGTCATAATAATAATTGCTATTATTTTGTTTGGAACATAGACACCAGAAGATATTTTTAGATGTTTTATTAAATAAGTTGTTTGAAAATATAGGGAAGTAGAAGTTGATTCTAATCTTTTCCCGGCTTAATAGGATGGTACCGTAGATAGACCCAGTAGGCCTAAAAAATAAATTTTGTGTCCGTTTTCAAAAAATAAAATGGGATAATAAATCTATATTAAGAATATATGTGCAGGTCAAGATAGATATGGATTTTATACAGTGATAGGCTAATAATTGTTCTTTGGCCAACAATAAAAAAGAGCTGGGCCATTTGTTGGGTGGCGATACCCCATTGGAGCCATAACTTCCACTGACCTACAATAGTGTGCATGGTCCTGGCCTCCTGACTCCTGGCCACATTCTCCTGCTCCTCTTGGCCATCAGAGCTAGCATGGCGCAGTTTGAAAAAGTCTACCTCAGCTTCTGGGTTCTGCCAGTCCACCTGGATAGAGTCCTCTGTCTGGCCCAGCACACGAATTCCTTCTACACCAGACAAGTCTGCAGATATGAGCCAACACACAACACATTGCCTGTCAGTCATAAGAAATGGGCCAAACCCTGCAAATGGACTGAGGTTTCTAATGACCTCTCAGTAAAAACAATTCACAAGATATGTGTACAGTGCTGTGCAAAAGTCAGAGAGCACCCTTCATTTATTTCATTTACTGTCAAGTTATTAATTTTTCAGGAGATGTTTCTAAGGCCATTAGATATAAGGTAATCCACTTGCAAAAGGAAAGAGAAAGTAAAGTGTTAAAAATCGTTAAACGATATAGAGAAAATGGGATTCCTAACAACAGTGCAAAACCTGGCATACCACCAATTGGATAAACAGTACTCAAAGTTTTCATATTTGAAAGACAGAAGAAAATCAAGCTTCTGTTTCAAATCTGAACCACTGTGAGAAGACAGCTCGACACTGGACCTGAAAGAATGCATAGCTGTCAAGAAGGTGTTACTGAGAAAAACAGACAAAAAAGAAGAAAAAATACAAAGAAAAAGTGCTTGTGTTCATAGAACAATGGACTGACCATCCCAGAGTATATGAGAGTGTTTGAGATTGCTTGGATATCTATGGTGAATTCTGACTGTCCTCAAATTTTTCCTGCCAATGAGCTCTGTGGGATATAATAAGACCTACAGAAATAATTCACCAGCTAACAGCCTAACAGCACAACCCTTATGAGGGCATTTCCATCTGTTGACACATACTTGATGATGAAACTATTTGTTGACCAGGAACTGACAGTGTCCCACGTAGTCAGTAGATTATCAGATAATCAGCACATTACTCCACACCTCACAGGAGGTGGATGCTCTTTGTGGAGATCCACACTGGATCATATTTACATGCTCAAGGGCTCCATGCTCATCCTTATGTGCCAAAACTATAAACAACCATTACCATAAAATTCTATTGGATGTTTCTTTTGCTTTTAATTACTTAATTTAATTAGTCCAATTACTGTGGATATATTGGATATAAAACTCTTCTCTTAATTTCAGATAAACAACAAAAATATGTCTTCATAATGTTTTTTGGCCAAAAATATTGACCAGAAAACAATTCTTCTATCCATTTTTCTGTCTATGAATTTATCTATCCATGTGTGTTCTTTTGGAGCAAATATTGTGAGACTTGACAAGCTTTATAGAACTAAGACAAAAATCCAACTCAACCTAATGAAAAACCAAAGAACAGAATAATTTTTTTCTTCAAATAAATAAATTTAGGGTGCATCATCACTGTTTTCACTGTTATTTCTCAAACAGTGAAAGCTGTGCGATTTTGTATTCAGAGAGACGACTGCTGAAGCTCAGTAATTTTGTCAGTGTTTTTACTGTACATGAACTAATGTTTATGCACTTGGTTAGTTGCCACTCATTATTACCACTCATTGTGAAATTTATGATCAGTTGCAGCATTTCTTACTGTATTTCGTGAGCAGAGCCCAGCAAAATGCACTAGGTTAAAACAGTCCATTTTATTATAGCTGTAAATAGTGGCGAAAATTTTTGTTAGTTAGTCAGTGGCCCGGTTGTCTTTTGTTAGTTCACGAACACACTTGACCTAAAATGTTTTTTAAGAACCAGTAAATTTTGAATATCGCTTCACCACTTTTGGAGGTGTGGTGTCAGCCCCAATTTTAAATTTATTCTCAAATTTATTTTGTATGCATTTTCTGTTTTCGCTGTAATGATCAGTATATATACAAAATTCAATCAATCTTAACAATGTTATCTTTCACACGCATACAAAATAAGTATCGTAGTGTCCCACTACTAGCCACACTGCCTCTGAGAAGCTTGGGAGGCGCAGCCGTGTGAAGGGTCATGCAAGGAAACTCATGGGAGACGTGCACCTAACATTTTATGTTGTTTGTTCTTTAGTTGAAGGTATGCGTGATTGTTCTATGTGTTTTATTGTGTCTGGGGGTGTGTGTTGGGTTTGTGGGATGGGGGAGGGTCATGGGTGATAATCACTACAGGGTGAAAGCTTGGGGCTAATAGTGACCTCCCCCATTTTTTCCATATATGAGTGGGGTATGGATAAGTCAATTACTTTTACCTGTGGTGGCCACTATGTGGTCTGCCTCACTGCTGATGCCCTTGATGACAGCGTACACCTGCACAATGTAGGTGACTCCAGGTTTGAGGCCAGTGATCAGGTAGGAGTTTTCTGTGTTTGGCACTTGTACCTCCTGCATGGCTCTCTCATCTCCTTCAGGGTAGTAGGACAGCACATAATACTCAGCACCTCTCACGTGCTCCCACTCCACCAGCAGAGACACATCCGTCACCGTGATCAGACGCAGACCTTGTGGACCCAGCACTGCAGAGGAAATTGAAGGTTTTCACATGAATGATTTAATACCAATGTGTAAAACAAGAAAAATAAGGGACTTCCTACATTTTGTTTAGTTATTTCTTACTCATAGCATACAAGCACTGTCAAAAGTGTGGATTCTAAACTGTTAATCCATATCACATTTGTGTTTATATGAAGAAGAAATTTCAATTTGTTGAAAAAGTTATTGTTGCATTATTGCCATGTTTTTGTCATTTGTTATTTTTTGACATTGAAATGAAAGAAAATAGTCAGAAGTCCATAGAGAATATAAATTGAATGTAAATCTAATTCACATATTTTACCACATATTTTATCATTTAACCCCTTAACTGGCCAAGAACCACTGGCAGGTCCAAGGTTAAATATATGCTAATATGCCTGTCATAGGCTTCAGATGTCTTTATTTAATCTGGAACGGCCATAAATGTTAATGTGTGTCAGTGTTTATCAGCATTAGTTAACATGCTATTACAATGCCAGAGGTTGGATTTTTCCTCATGTTTTGATGATTGGGTTTGACATTCATGGCCCAATCTGAAGGCCTAGTTCTAATAGATGGAGATGGACATGACTTGCCACTGGATCCCCATCAATAAGAGACTCATCAGTGAGGGTGGAGGGAGTGTATTAACAAAATGCACTGAAAACATGATACATTGAATGTACTCGATTCAAATGTGTACATTCTTTCTCCGTGATTAAAAAAATATATTACATCAAGACAGGTTGTCTTTCATTTTATTTGCTCTTGACCATAATTGTGTGTATGTAGCATATTTTATTAATTAAATTCAATGCATTGATTCTTCAGAGTGAGTCCTATAGACCCCAACCACTCCAACCAATCCATTTACAGACAACAAAATAAGTAGAAAAGTTTCCCTACAGAAATTGCCCACCAGTGTAAAGAGGAAAACGTATAGAGGTGTTGGATTTGAGAGGAAGAACAGGGAGCACATGTGGGGAGAGTGGAGGAGGGGGATATGGGTGCTGAGGAGATCACATTTGCTGGGAAAGAATTCACAGCAGGTTTGGACATTGCTCCACATGGTGAAGGGGCAGGAAGCTGAATGTTTTTCTTTGCTTTAGAACCCTTTCCACCCAGTGGCAGTTAATACAACCAGTCCTGTCTCTCTCTCTCGCTATTGCCAATAACAATTTCACTTTTAAATAACATCTTCCAAGAGGCTTGTAGGATGAATAAGTTAACATCTAAAGACTGAGAACAAGTGAAAGTGCCAGAAAATACATGTCCCCTGTGGCTAATATCAAGAATTTTGAACAATGAAAATGACTATGATAACAAAACTGTGTCACAACTTTATAAGAAAGTAATATAAATATATGATATCAGGTTTGGGGAAAACACATTTTTAGACATATTTTACTGTCATGCCATTAAGAAGAGCAAGTCAATGTGACTTAAATTAACCAACTCTACAAAGGAAACATTGGGAAAGATTAGTCTCTATACCCTGACACAAACCAACCATATTCATGCTTAGGAAGTATCATTATTGTATCACTAGTTGTCTTAAGTACAGCAAACTGGTGGTGTTCAGGGCCTGTATTCATAGTTTCTCAAAGAAGGAGTGCTGATCCAGGATCTGTTCCTGTCAGTATGGTCACAGTAAATAAGAATCTGATCCTGGATCAGCACTCCTACTCTGAGAGGCTTCATGAAAAACAGCCCATGACTTGTTTATGCTGAGTCTCTGGAGAAAACACAGAAGTCTAGATCAGCAGGTGTGTGTAGTAGGTAGCACATCTGCACACTTGTGATATTGCACTGTGAAATCTGCACAAATACCCCAGGTGCTTATGATAAAGCTCCCAGCTGATCCTCTTTTTGTTGATGATTAATCTCACCCACGATGAGGGGATTCATTTTACACTTTTTCCCTCTCTCCTAGGTCTTCATGCACAAGTCATCTTCGTAAGCTGAGACCTCAAACTCTCTGCTAAAGAGAAATAAGTTCAATGCCAGTGGCTTCCACAAATATTTCTATTAACTTTATTGGCAAAACTAGTTCCAGATTATAATGTCAATCTAGAATTGGCAGATTTCAGAAGCCATGTGGATGAGCAGAGGAATAACTATGGATCAGCAGGCACCCTCTGCCCAATGAAAATTCAAAGCTTTTACAGTTTTCTCTAATCGATAACCAGCCATTTTGAATGAATCACAAAGATACAAGTGAAATGTTCTGGAACACTAGCAGCACACAGTCATTAATTTAGCGCACTTCTCGCACAGGCAGTCATCACCATAGAGGGATCTGGATAGGTAGATAGCTACGTTAACTTTTTGGAAATATAATGCTTATGACAAAACACCCAATTTCCTCCCTTATAGCAAAGCCACATTTTTTTCACATGATCACATTTTTTTACATGTGAAGTGTGCAAAAACCATACACGTTTATTTACAAATTAAATTCATGTGACTTTTCTCTAAGGGCTAATTTTTTAGTATTACATTTTAAATGTACAATTTCAATTGAATTGGTAAAGATATTATATGAACAATGGTTAGCTGCTAACTGTTATATTGGTGATTTATTTCTTTTTTTACTTACTTCTTCCTAAAGTTTAGATGGTTACATAAATAGCATAGCATGGTTTAGGTTATTAGATTAAAGTGAACAAACCACATTTGATAAATTGATAAAGACTCTGGAATTTTAGCAAAATAATCGGCTTATTCAGTGCATGTACACTGATCAAATATTTTTTGCTTTCCTGCAGGAAGCAGTAAACACTATAGACTCAATTCAGTACTACAACACATAGGGATTGGGCTATTTTGCATATGTAAACATACTCAGTGTTTTAAGTTGCTGCCGACCAGTTCAGCTGGCATGCTGGTAATATTGACAGACATACTTAGGCTTTATTATTGATATTATAAAAATGTGCATACTTATATTGATTGGGTAATGTGAATATGGTGTCCTGCAATGATGTGGCAAAAGTAAAACCTTTAGATAAATGATTGACAGCTCCAACTATCAAATACTCTGCTATCTCCAATTAGAGTCACAGTCATGAAGTCGTAATTGCTAAACCCAGCTGTCAGAGCTTTGCCAAATGTTGGCTGTATGCTCCCTCAAATTTTCATTCATGACCTTAATTATGCTGTCCCTTAACCCTGTAAACTCTCACTCACAGAAGTGTTAGCATGAGTGATGTGTCGTACCCTAAGGCTCTTGCCATTCCCAATATTGTTTTTCTAGAAGATTGCATTCTATGCATTCCTACACCGAGGCACTCCCTATTTGTAAAGGAAAGAGCTGGAGATAAGAAAGGCTACGTGTGGAGTATATATACTGTATAATAACCAATTCAATGTGCAATTATTTTTTGTCCATGGCCTCACATGCATGGAGCATTTGTGCATTTGCTTTTGCATTATTTTCATACCAGCTCAAAAGAAAATGCCAGACATCCATGGCAGAGGCTAAACTGACAGAATTCCCTCACAGTGAGGGACATTTTGAATAAGCCAACAATTATGACAAATAGGCGTAGTCTGAAAGATAAACATACTTCTAATTACTCTGAACTTACAAACACAATAATTATTCAAGTTTGTCAGATATCTGCTCTAGGCTCTAGAAAATAGACTTAAGCTTCCACCTGAAGATTACCCTGAAGGTTAATCTCAAGCAGATTTCTACCTGTACTCAAACACAGTAATTTGTATATATTCTGTATCATAGAAATGGGATTGCTAGGGAGTTAAGTAAAGGAAACCTAACTATAGCTTTAATAGATTTAATTTTTACCTGAAATCAAGTAGTACATAGTCACCTAATATTTGAGATGATCACAGTTATTTAACCTGATTGCAATCATTTTCCACAGTCATTAGATTTTACAGTCATATTATGCTACAAAATGTGAATTGTGTGCATTTGAGTTTATGGAAAAGAATTGTAAACAAAAAGAACACAGTAAATGCATTTATTGAGACATCATGGGGCTTATGAAAACCAAAAGAAACTGGTGTTGGTGCTCTAAATCTTACCCATAGAGCAGTCAGCCCCGACAAAGCCCACATCGCAGACACACTGTCCGTCCACACATCGGCCATTGTCTTTGCAGTCACCTGGGCATCGCTGGGTGCTGCAGTCATCCCCAGAGAAGCCCTCAAAACACACGCATTTGCCATCTACACAATGGCCCTTGTCATTGCAGTTGCTGGGACACAACAGCAGGCTGCAGTCGTGTCCAGTGTAGCCGGCATGGCAGATGCAACGACCATCAACACAGAAGCCGTTATCATTACAGTCATCAGGGCAGGAGGACACAGAGCAGTCTGGACCCTCCCAGCCTGGGTCACATTTACAGCTGCAAAGGTCATGCTGGTAGGTGCCATGCCCACTACAGCTGGTATCCACACCTGGAAAAATGAAGGGTCAGTCAAATGAGAGCAGGAGATACACCGTATTAGATGAACCCTAGTTCAACTACAGTGGAGTTCCCCCTGCACTGCATAGTTTTGCATTTTCCCTGCTCTAACACACCTGGGCAGTATCATAAGCTAGTTAGCCACTTCTCAACATGAATCAGATGTCAGATTTCAAAATGTGAGAAATTAGACCACGCTGTGATGGTTTTGCTGTACTGTCATGAACAGCAGTGACCAATTAATTGAAAAATAAGATTGCTATTACATATAGCTATTTACCACTAAAACTAAAAAGAACAAGAAATAGAAATAAAAAGAATAAAAAAGAAATAAAATGTTTTTAGGAATCCTAAAAACAAGCAAGTCCTGTGTTCTTAGCTTGTGTGCTAATACCTGAGCCTCCTTTGCAGCAGCCCTGAGCGCATTGGTTTTTCAAGTAGGTCACCTCCTCCTCAAGACCATTAACACGATACAGCAGGGCCTTGAAGTCCTCAGAGTCCGCACAGCCGCAGCCACCTGACACTAGCTGAATGTTGTGCTTGAAGATGATGTCATTTTCCCCGTTCACAGTCAACACCTGACCACCTGAGGCCTGGTCCTGGGTCAGCAGAACAGCCTGCGAGCAGGGATGGTCATGTTATCCATTTTTGCTATTTGAATATTGCAATTTTTATACAAATAGTATTTCAGCATCCCAGCAAGAAAATATATTATCTTGTTATGAGTGAAAAATGAAAACATGGAATGTTTACCATAAGTTTATTGTGTGCAGTTAACATAAGAGCTGATCTATACATGATCATTCAGTTAATTTAGTGATCTTAGTGTTTTAGGTGTTATTTAGGTAATATTTAAAACACTACTATCTGAACTACAGGATTACTCACAACATCTGCTGTATAAATTTGTCAACTTTTCATTTAAAACATTTCCAGATGTAGCTTTGCTTAGATGTACCTTTTTCTCTTAACATAAGGCACAATAACAACTGCTTGTGTCCCAACATTCTCTGCTGTTCTACACATGTTCAGTCTAAAACTTATGTATCCTCTTTTAGGACCTCTATTGGCAATTCCAACAAAGGAATGGAAATTGCTTCATTATTTGATTTATATAATCAAATACATTTTTTGTTGGCTGTCAGTGTTTTTCTTTGTGACTCTGTGTTGAGGTGCTGGTGAGCAATAAGGAGTGAAAGTGGGGTGAGAAAGGGCACTTTCTGTACACAACTTTAACCTTCTCCACAAAGACAGTTGTACTGAGATAAAATAACACAACTGCTCTTCTTAATATTAAAAATTGTGTACAACTGCCACAGTAAAAATAGCATTTAACCTACAATAAAACACTTGCTTACTCAGCTATAAAGACAAAAGTTCAGTTCAATTCTGGGTTCTGGTTCTGTAAATCATACACTTTTCCATCAAAATATATTCCAACATTAGTGAAAAAAAAATCCAAAAATTGTGAGGAATTTCCAACACAGGCAGAAATTGCATTTAATGTCTACTGTGAAAGGGGCTAAAAATTACATGATAATACAAGATATACAAGATTTCTTTTATTTATTCTAAACTACATTTACTTTATTTATTCTCTAATTAAAAGAATGTTGAAGAATGTGTTTAAATTACCTTATTTTTGAATAAACCGCATCCATTCCTACCTGTGAGCCCTGCTTACAATCAGAATCAATCTTGTACACGTGGCTAAATGTGACTCCTTTCTCAGACACTTCTGCCAGCGTGACCTGGGAGAGCGCCCCCAGCACGAGCCAACCTAGCCTGGTGAGCATGACCTGGGAAAGAAAATAACAAGGGGAATGACCTTATTTTGCTGTTGGATCATGATATCCTTTCCTGGTAGTGTGTTCTTCACATGACATAAGCCCATGGTTGAGACAGACATCGCATTTTGTTTAATGGGGCAAGATTTATTTTACTAGAGAAATGTCTGATCCTACAGTAAGAATTAACTAGCCCTTTTGCTCGACTGGCGCATTCCATGGAAACCTTTAATTACACACCCATAGCCGCAACGGCTTTAAGGAGCGGGGAACTTTTTTTCTAACTGAATGATGTCATTCCTAATGACAGTGATGTCATCCAGACTTCTTTTTTACCTCATGGGGATTATATAGTACTTAAACAATGTTTTATTGAAAAAGAAAACCCAAATATATCTCTGGAAAAAAATCCCCCAAGGCCCATTTGCTTTGAATCTCAAACATGAACAAAAAGATCCTTTCTTTAGAGAGCTAAGGCAACAAAATGTGCCAGGAAACATATAATATATAATATTTAAATGTTTTGCCTTAGCAGGCAGTATGATCTTGTGTGCTCTGTGAAGAGTGGAAAGAATAGATTTCTTCAGTAAAAGGAGTTTAACTCAAAGGAAGTGGTAAACTTTGCTATGGAGCTTTTTTAGAAGACATTTCATTGACTCCAGTGATGTTGCAGCGAATTTTGATGACCTTGCTTAGACAGGCAAAAAGACGAAGGCTATTTTAGTAACAAGTATTGCGATGTGAATGTCATAAAGAATAAAAAGCAGGTTACAATGAAATCTTTATCATTTATGAATGATTCAAAACAGTGTGTAAATGGAGCAAGTGACATGGTAGCAAGTAAAAGCAATTTATGAACACATAAAAGCTTCAAAATTCTCTTTAAAGCATGCACATTAAATGCGAAGAACTTAACAAGTCTCCAGACGCATGTAAATATAGGCTTTAGGGTAACTACAGAATACAGAAAGTGTCCTTGTGGGCCTGGGGGCCCCAAAGTAAGGAATCGTAGGTAAAGCCACTTGAGCAACTCTTTTATAATGATACAATAATTCATCAGAACCCATATGTCTCACTAGTTTCTTTCTATAAATTCTCTGCATTCATTCATTCACACACGAACTGCCAAATTGACTAACAAAGCACAGCTGCAATGAACAAGTACTAGGACTCCACAGTAAACCTTATGCATAATTCTTAATGACTGTTGATTGCTTCATTTAAGAGTGAATTCTTCTGTTATTTGCTGATTGCACACTTTGCTTTGAGGATTGAGGACATTTCTTGGTTGGAGCTCAGAGCAAAAACATTAAGTAACATGCTTCAAAACTGAAGAAGCAGATGTGGAATGGTAGAAATGCTGAAAAAGACCAGACTTTAGCGTTCCCCACTGATGGAGGTGGAAATGTGAACAGGAGCACACAACCTGGAACTCATGCCAGCAGGATTGCCCAACTAAATATATCACATTAGTGGAACTTTGAAATAGGACTTTTTAAAGTTATTTTTTCTTTTTCTTTTATTTTGAAAATATGACAGCCCAATCCACAAAATAGGAAAATTCAAGTTTCAGGCTTGTGCTGCTTTTACACCTACCTTCTATGGTGTGGACCAACAGAAAATTTTCATTGGTGACATGCTGCTTAAAAAGGGAGATGAACAGTAAAATAAGCAATGCATTTGATTTTGGTAAATGGAATGTGGAAAATACTTTTGGCCAAGTATTAGCCACCTGACCTAAATTCAAACTTACAATCCAAACAATCATAAAAAAGCTGAGATCAATGCACGTAAATGTGATACACATAGAAAAGCAAATCAAATCTCGATTTTCATGCAAAGTAACGTAGAATAACAGATTTATATGATGAATATATGCGAGGAATGGATTTTAAACAATGATAAACCATTAAAAGTTTAAAAAGGTAGTTTTTTTGCACTTATGGAGGCAAATGTGCAAATGCTTATATTTAGCGAAATTTCTGACCAATCAGTAAACACCCATGTGTGTAATTTGATACTCTTTAACAGGTAAAATGTAAAGTCAACCTGCCTTAACAGTCAGGTGTTTTTGTTGTATGAAGTCTCCTTTTATTAACTTAGCTAACAGGAAATAGAAGATTCAACCCCACAATTGTATCTTAAAACCACTGTTCTACATTTGAGGGTACATTTACATTGTTTGCACCTTGATGAAAGAAAAACGTACTTCTATTTCTTACAGTGTAGATCATACTGTGACAGTACATACAATTAATTGGATTTTAAGATACTACAAGGAAAAGAGCATTACAAATCCATAAACATGATGCAAACTCACAAAACACTTGCACCAGCGCTACATTTCACAAACAAGCTGCAAATGCAGAAAACAAAAACTAAAAATTACTTCATGTTGTAACAAGTAATTGAAATAGTTTTATTCAATTTAATAATTCAAATTAATTTAGTTGTTACAACATGAAGCAATTTTTTAGGTTGATCTGACAAACCATTTTTTACAATGGGTGCAACTTCAGAAACTGTAAAGTCAGTCACACCACAATGGAAATGTCTCTGGAAAACTCTCAAAGAGGATGGAATTTCTGTGACGGAAAATCTTTGACAAACATATTCAAGTACTTTTATAGTTAACTTAGCAAGCCAGTTAGCTATCTGACATAGCTGTACTACAGTAGTCAGTTACGATGCATAGAATTTGAAAGTTTGAATGGCTCTGTCCCCTTTGCATATCCTCTGGAAACATTTCTGTTGTGTAGTGACAAACTCTGCAGTGTTTCTGAAGCTGCAAGTGTTTTCTGTATTTGCAATGCGTTAGTGAAATGAAGCACTGGTATTGTCATTTTGATGAAAGTGTTTTCTAAGCAGAACATCTATGAATTTGCAGATTTTTTGTTTATTTTGTAGACCATTTGTAAAATCCAGCATATGTTGTCATTTTGTAGCTCTTTTTGTTTTTTTTTCCCCTGATGACAAGTTTCTTAATAATTTCAAGCATGTTTCCTTGAAGATCTTTTTCAGGATCGGGATTTTCTTTTTGGGTAGAAACACATTAATTTCACCCAATGTCACAGATTCACTCTGAAGCCCAGGGCTGTGCCATTTTTGCTGCAGTTAAATCTGTCAGAGGCCTGTAGTGCCATGTGTGTGATGATCTCACTTTAACTCTGATTCTAATTACGGCACATGGCATTGAGGCACGGGGTGGAAAAGTGAAGGAAAAGTGCAACGCTGGAGCCCATTTCAGAACCCCAGATGCCACCCACACGCTGGCTCTTCCAAGGACCTTAAATGACCATGTATACTGCTCCCTGACAATTGCTTTTTCCAAAGCTTGCCACTCACTGTTTTTTCTTTGGAGAGATAAACTCTCCAACCTCTCTCAGCATCCAGCAAAGTGTAGTTTCTGCTACTGCTGAGTCACAAGAAAATGGGTGGCTGGAGTGACAGCATCTCCTGTACCTCCCACCTGGATTGAATACACCAAACATTGTCTTACTAGCAACAGTTGCTCACTGTTTGGAGGACTACACTGCCAAACAGGAATTTTGAGAAGGCTCACTCTACTTATTTCTTGTATTTGAATGTTGTCCTTGAAGTCCAGCACTTGTGTGATTTTATGTACCAAATACAGGTAGAATTCCATTGTACATGATTATTTTCCAACCTCTCTTTATGCTGTTGAATCAGACAGGCTGTTTTTGCTAATAGAAGGGGCTGACGTGATGGTGCCTGCTCTTGTAATTAACTGTCATGGGCTTGGGCTCCCTCTGGGAACTGAAGACCATCAGCATGTAGAGTATGGAGAACATTCCAGGCCTGAGTAATTAACCCTGAGCTTTACACGTTCAGACAGAATAATGCCTCCCCCATCCTGCTCCTTTCCCTGCAGATATGCTAACAAGCTGCAAAATATGGAATCCTTGCAACTGGGCATGGGGTTAACACTTCCAGCCCAAGGTCAGTGGACAGACTTGGGCAATAAAGTGGCCATCAACTCTATTCCGACAACTCCATGGCATGGGTCTTCAAACACGTTGAAAGAGGTAGGGTTGCAGCGTCTGCTGATCAGACATGTTTGGGGTCCATTGTTTGCTTCTTCTGGTACTGGGGCTATGAGGCTAATGTAGCTAACAAGCCATGGAAGCCCTAACGCTAGTATTAGTATTTTTAAAAATAACAGTAAACACAATAGACTCAAATTAGTTCTACACTGACAACTTTTCTTGTGTATGTGCGTGTGTGACCCTATACCTTAATTGTGTTTATTGAATTAAAAATGGTTTCATTCAATTTTGTTTTGTAACTTTAAATTTTGAAACTTTACCAAATATTATGGTAGTCATTGTATCACCAAAGAAAATTTTTGATAATTTTGATTATAACTCAAAAATGCTAGGCAATACATAATTAACAAACATAGCTTTGAACAGCTGTACACAAATAAAATCATAATTTTTTAAAACTTTAAAACTTAACTGCAGAAAATATGCTTCCATAGTCACAATTCTTAAATGTTACACACTTATTTTCTCAGATTTCAAGACTCATTTACTTCAAAACAGTAACTCAAAACTACTAAGCATGTGTCCATGAGGGACAGGGACGCTGGTTCTAAAATGCAAGGGTGTGGCTAAAATGTGGATCCGTCTACAGACTAAAACACTTTGTATTTCAGTAATGGTGTGAAAATGTGGAGTAGCTAGCTTTTTATTTAAAATTTAATATCATGATAAATCATTTTAACTTCATATGTTTTTTAAAACAACACTAAACAGTTATTTTCACAAGTTGAAATGTAGGGGTTAGGGTATAGCCACCTTCCAATTGAAATACCCTATAAAGGACAATTTTGTATATATTTAGCATATTACTATCTCTATTAATGCCTTGAGTTTTAAAAGATCACAACATAATCTTTGTAAATATTGAAGGCAAGGGTGCACAACCCCGGCCCTGAAAGCTGGTGTCCTGCATAGTTTGGTAGTTGTCCTGCTCAGACACAACCTGCCAATTACAGAGTAGTTGAATCAGGTATGTTTGAGCAGTAGGCTCACCAAACTATGCTGGACACTGGCCTTTCAAGACTGGAGTTGATTATGTTCTAACTCAACACAGTTTAAGACAAGAGTGTGAAGATTTAGGCATGCAATTTGAAATTTGTGGGACATAAGCTCCCATTACTTGTTAACTACATTAGCCTTGTAGCTCCAGTGCAAAACAGAGACAGAGTAAAGAGAAGGGAGGAGTGGAAAGTCTAGACTTTGTGTCCGAGTATTCTCCCAGGATGCATTAAGTTGGCAGACAAAGATGATCAGTTCTTCTGCTTTTGAAGTGGATCTTGGGTCACACTGCTAAGAGAGACAAATGTCTTGGTAATATGGGAACAAAACACAGCCAGATGGACGGATGGACTGTAAAAGCCACCACAAACACGCAACACCAGCAAATTTCCTCTTCTCTCTTCAAATGGCGGGACCTGAAAGCAATTAGGCTCAATTCTGGGTTGTAGACTGCATCCTCTGCTAAGTCTGCAGCGCTGGCGACCCAAACCGCAGCAGCCTTGATAAGGTTACGGCAACCCAAAATCAGTCTGTCTGCCTTATACAGCACCAAAGTATACATTAATCCTTGCATTGTGAGCTAGCTGCAGGCAACATCTGTTGCTCATCTACATGGGCTTCCGATTAAACCTGAAGTCAGCACAGTAGCATTTCCCCTTGTGCTGTCAGACCAAATTGACTGGACTGAATGAGAGTGTGGTCCTGAATGGCAAGGTAAGACTGTTGTATGGAGGTGCTAAAGAAAGAGGACAAACACCTTTAAAATATGCTAAGTAAATCATTTAGCTAGTTAGAGCTAGCTAGTGCTTTAGAGAAGTACTGTGACATATGTACTAACGGTAGATGATTCAAGGCATTATGTGGAACGTATAAATTTACAACACAGACTGTAAAGCACATGTCTTGATGCAGCTGTCCACCGATGCGATGTGGAGTTTGCTGAGGCACATATGTCAGGTTGTCTACTTTGGCATGCGGGACAAAAAAAAAAAAGATGTTTGAAAGTCCGAGCATGAATTTCTTTGCATTCTTCATTTTGCATGGTCATGTTTTTACACTCAGGTGCATAATTCACAAAATACCCCTAAGCACACTTTTGCCAGATGCATCTTAGCACTGCACACTCCTAACAGGTAATTCTGCTGACAATGATAGGAACACCACATAAGGGATGATGTCCAATCAAAGGTGTACTTTGGCTACTAAACCCAGAAATCAGGAACAGTTGGAGAATATACTTGAGTGTCCTATGGTGGTATGTTTAATCATTTAATTTCAAGTGAAATGAGACAAGCTACATCACTGGGTTTAAAAAAAAAACTGAGCAAAGAGTAGTATATTACCTCATTAGACAAGCTGCATTGTATGAAATTCATTGTATGAAATTCATTTGAATTAACTGAGACAAGAGTAGCACAGCATGCATTATATTCTGCAATTTCAAAGTCTTTTAAGCTCATAAATTCGATCAAATTTTCAAGCTTCCATCTAGGTTTTCTAGGTTCCATCATCATTTTCACATTTCACCTAAACACACACACACACACACACACACACACACACACATATATATACATATGCATGCATCTGTACATCTATCTAGCTAAGGAAATCATTCCACCATTTGAAAAAGCCACTGGCAAAAACAAAACACTCAGCACTTGCCTTGCTGCAGAAGATAGAAGATATATCTCTGATGTTTTAACGTTCACCCTCTGTGTGTCTCTGACTGACTGTGCCTTCCAGCAAGCACCTGTTGAAAGTTCTGACTGGGCTTGCACACCAGCCCCTCCTGAGCTCTGTCTGTGGCCAATCCTCCTACTCTGAAAAATATACTCATTCAGCTTCAATCTGCTCCCTTCAGCCCAGAGCCAATCAGCAGCCTGGGCGTGCCTCCCTCTCCCTAGCTCAATCACAGAGACACATAATGAGAGGCATTCCATTGCTTTATGTCATCTGGAAATCACTTCTTTGTGACCTTTGTGCACACACAGGGCCATGGTGGGTTTTTCATAAAGGCCATTTTTGCGGTTCTGCCACCATAGAGTAGCTCCAAGGTTGATGAATTTCTATTCCAGGCACTGCAGTATGTAAGGAGACCTAGAGGAGCCCAGCCAAAGTCAACAGAAGCCTCCAAGCTGGAGGTTTTAATATGCCGCTGAGCTAAGCATTTATGAGAAAGTAACCACGGTTTTGTGTCAGTGACATTTTTTTATAGGGTGATGACATGGCTAAGGACACTATAGAATTCTCTGTTTCTGGGCAATCCAGACAAAAAATGCCAGAAATAAATCATCAAACACAACATCAGCATAAAAAGAAAATACACAAAGTCTTGCTGAAGCACTGAAATAACAATGGTCTAATAGAGGCAGTGAGAAACAAAAAACGCTCATGCTTTTTTTCCTTACCATTTATGCTCAGAACAATAACAAACCACAAAATGAAAGTACCAAGTTGTATCCCATATTTGTAGACAAAGAATTTCACCATGCATCTTTAGGTACTCTTTGAAATTATGTTTGTCTGTAACATCACTTTGCATCTGGTTGGCTCTAAATATATTGGGTCTTGGGTTACACAGGCCATGGTTGCTGGCGAAACAGTTTGGTTGTAACTGGAGACCAGACCAAGTGTAAATGTTTTTTAAAGAGAAAGAGGAATTCTGCTTCATCTATACGTCTGACCACATACTCCTGATCAAGAACTCTTAAAAATGAAAGTGCTAAATAGGATTCCTTGGAGTGATGATATTAAAGAACAACTTGAGATTCTTAAAAAAGACATTTTTGTAAACAAGATGTGTGAGTGTGAAGAACCTTTTTTAAAGGTTACACCTTGTCTTAACAGCAAGTGAGCATTCAAATGTAGCATTGCATTACGTCACAAAACCTTCAGAATGTCTATATTGAAAACATTAAGTCTGTATCAAGTCAAAACAGAAACAACTACTGATCAGGTAATAGCTTGACACTTCTACAAATTAGGAGTGTGTCTTATCTTCAGTGAAAATCTTGTTTTTAAGATTAGGAAACTTTAGTTACACATTTTACATTTGTGTATCAGATTTAAATGCTTTATCAATAAAAAAATGGTGGTAAAACTACCTGAAACCTCCAGCACTCTAGCAATGTCCATATAAACTGCCACATTTCTATTGATATCCTTGTGAAAGTAGGAGGAAGGTTCATATAGATCTTTTTTTCTGCACCTCGTGTAGCTTAGTTTCATCTTATCCACTTTTGGCTAGTTGTGTTGAGGTGAACATCAGCGCGTTATGACATGTCATTAATAGGAACAGGCCCCCCATCGAAAATACCTCATAACATTGCACTGCATCATACTCTGATACGTGCAGCTGGTATAGATAGCTTAATTGATTATTTAATAGTAGAGTTCTAGTTTTGATGCCACTCATTTGTGTCGCTTGCTGTTAGGACAAGGTATTGAAGTCAATGTGAATGAGATATCATAATCCGTTTTCCTTTTGTACTGTGAGGTAACATTGTATTAAGGATGGTGTCTGAGTTAGCTAATTATTTCTTTCAATGATAGGTGGGGGAGTTGGGAAGGGGAGATGACATTGTTAGTTAAGGACCCCCTGAACTCAAAAATTTGTTGTTTTAAATGGTTAACTCCTTTTGAATGGCTTATTATGGTTATACATATTGATATTTGTATCAAATGTGTTACAATAGATCAGAGTTTACATTTTTCCACTGAAAAACAGACTTATATAGTAAAACTGAAAAAATATGCTTTGTGGTGCGCTAGGCAAGCTTGACCACATTTCGCCAGAAGCAAGTCCTAGCTTGGCAAGAAGGCTTAAGCTTCACACAAAAGAATGCAGGTTCATTCTTGTTCATTGAAGCCACACTAATGCAAGTTTATAGAATTAGAGAATAAACACTCACATTTGAGCACGTAGGCCTTCACTTTTGTGTGTGGAGCTGATGGCTTAAGCTACTTTTAATTTATATCCTTGTTAGCACCAGAGGCTAATGTTAGCTTAGCGAGGGTGTTTACAGTTTGCATAATCACACATACTCATAGCGGGGGTTTTCTGGTTACAAACATTACTGGGTGCATGTGCAGCCAGGGGGCAAAACTGCTTTAGTAACTTAGCCAGTCACAAGATTGTAAAGTTAGTCAACTGTTGTAATTAATGTAGATTTCTCATTGTTTGTAAATACTTGCTGACTTAACAATAAAATGCCATTTCAGAGTTGGATTAGTTTATTTGCATATTAATTAAACAACACGTACAACGTTAGCTAACAATAGTTGATTGTCAGTATCGGTTAGTCATTAGGCCTCTATGAACACTCCACTAAGTTTGCTATTTACTAAATGTTTAGCTAATAGGAGCTATCCAAATTTAAAAAAAACAAAAAAAAACCAAAAAAAAAAAAACTTCATGGCTTGCTGACATGTCCTTTGAATTTCATCCAACTTACCTAGTTTTGTTGTTGAGCCTGTCTGTCCCCTATTTGACAATATTCGAAGCATGGTGGTGCATTAGTGTTGCTAGGCTAATGCTGTGTTCAGATACTCATGTATATACCACATGGTTAACTAATAAATAAGACTGTTCTTAGATACGCTCACCACGAGGAGAAAGACAGCATGGAGATCCGGAGAATACTATCCTGTTTCCTATTAGCTATTGTATATAAGTATACAGACCATCAATTGCATATTTTTTCACATTCACTGCACATTTAGCGTTTTCACTCATGTAAAAGGTTAAAGGTCATGTTATACATCGAGTCTCGTACAATCGTGTATCATCTATAATCCTAAGTTTACCAGTTGTAAATATGGCATTTGTCAGCAATTCTAGCAAAATGTACAACCTTGTCAGGACAGGAGGAAATGGTTGGCACGGATTACATTGGAAGCCTAAATAGCTTGGACTGTGCCGATTACTCCAATAAATTAGTTCTCAGTAATGGTGAGAAATTACTTAGACCTAAACATTCTGCGACCATCTTCCCTGCACAACAAAAACTTATTGTTGCTTTATGCCGTGAAGAGAGCTGCTTTCTGCCTTGAAGAGTGCGCTGCTTTCTGTTGTTTTCTGCCCCCTTGTTGTGCGTGCATCTCTCTGATCATGTTGCACCGAAACCTGAATATAGATCTTTGCATTCTTAAGGAGTATTAAGATTTAGGAAGACTCCTATGACATTTTTAGTAGCTTCTTAGGCATAATAATAATGCAAAAATATTTAACATTTCATTATTCAACATAGATCATTTTTTGTTTTTGTAATTTATGAATTTGGGGGCACTTTAATGTTTTTTTTCTCTGGCCGCTGGTGCATGATAATGTAATCAAAAACCAGAAGACATTTTTGAGGAGGGCAAAAGTTACTACATTTTGATAAAAGATTATGTAAGTAGTATGATACAGTGAATCGTGCCTCATATGATCTGAGACACGAACTAACAAGGAAAAAAGGTCCATTTTGATTTCAGGCTGACTTTACTATCCTTCACATAATGTAAATATTCTATATTGATGCATAGAACCATATTTCCAAGCTAAGAACCTCTTAGGAACCTTTATTTTTAAAACTGTACAGCATATACATCATTAACAAAGTCCAACTATACACCTACAACATACAGAACCTCCAGCACATTTCAGTGTCTCTGTTATAAAGCTAAAAGTTAGTGTGCCTCTTGGTACATGATTGTCTCTTTAAATATTTGGATACTTTCACATGTGGCTGGAATATGCAATGAATAAGAATAGAGAAAATGCTGGAAATGGCCAGCTTTCATTCAGCTTCGGAGTAAAGCATGTTTGTGGCATTTCGCTGGAGGATTCTATGAATAGCTAACAGTGTTTTCATTATTTTATCTCTAATGCTTGGGAAATGCTTGTAGGTTTTCAAGACTCTTGCCCATTTTTAATGCTATTTCACCTGCTAGTTCATGATCTAAAGTCTACTGATGTTTCAGTAACACTTTACATCTGACATTCTACAAAAATAGAAGTATTTTTAATTTTGCTTTTACTTTTGCAGCAATGCAAAATTATTCTGAGAATACAGTAAAGTTTATCAGGAAATACAACATAATTATGTTACATTGTTTTGGGGTGATCTGGACTAAAGTGCATTGGGTTTCCCACTAGAATGTGCAAGTTTTTTTTGTTTGCTATGTAACTGTACATAGTAAACAATACATTATATAGGCTATAACCCATTCCTAGGGATTTTAAGCACTGTCAGGGATGTTTGTTCAAATTGCAACCAGCAACAACCTAATGTTGTACTGTCAGGGATGTTTGTTCCAATTGCAACCAGCTACAACCCAATGGGGTTGTGCTGTATGTTTTGAAAAAGTGGTTCTCAAATTAGTCCTTAGGGTACCCTGGATATTGGGCCATGTGAGGGGTCCTGAGGACTGATTTGATAACCACCGTTTTAGTACTTGTTTAAATAAATAAATAGATCTGTACTATATTGTAAAATCATCTCTAAGATGGTTTAATCTATAACTTGGGAGCCAGAGGCGTCCCTTAATTTATTTAATTTCCAGTCAAAATTTTTCAAGAGATATTTCTAAGCAGATAACCTAAATAAATAAATAAATAAACAAACAAACAAACAATTAACCACAAAAAGTAAAAAAGAAATAGGAAATCATGCTTCACTCTTGCTTTAGATCTAAAAATCCATGTGTTTCTGTTCATCCTTCCACTGTGGGAAGACAACTTCATGCTATGGGTCTGAAAGGATGTGGAGCTGTAGCAAGAAACTGTTTCTGAGAAAGAAAATAGACGGAAAAATGCAAATCAAACAAAGAAGCTGCTAGTGTTATCTGAACAATGCACTGGCCAACTCAGAGCCTAGACCTCAGCATCAATGAATATATTTGGGATTACCTGGATCATGAGAAGCAGAAAATGAACTATATTGATTTTTTGAGGCTACTGTTAAATATGTTTTCTGCTTTCTTGCCTGATGCTGAAAAATGAATAACTTGTACTTAATGACCATTTTGACTGGTCTATCTGCACCTTTTGGAAACCTTATATTTGATATGGTTGTTAAAATTTGCTTCAAAAATATTCAGGGAACAAAATGGTTATATACTGTAAATAATGCAATAATTATACATCTGTGTTAATAATAATGAATATGCTGTTTAATTTGCATAGTATCACTTCCAGTGATTTACAGTTAGTGTATTATGAATTAATTGCATCCTACAGTGCATTTTATTGGCAACTCTGCCACTCGTAAATTGCTGTAACATCTTGTATTGTGGCTCCAAGTAAAACTACATAAAAACAATATGAACATGGAGAATTCATAGCAGTTGGTGAATTCTTGTGAATTGTGAGAAAAATTATGAGGACTACTCCTACCCCCAAACCTTCTTCATTTACAACTTCTCACATTCTTACATGTTTGTTTGATTCTTATGAATTTCTATAAATCCTACTGGATTTGACTCTCTCTCTCTCTCTCTCTCTGATAAGCAGGGAACCTCTGCACACACATGAATGACTAGGAGAACTAGGAGATCATAGTTTTGTGTACAACAATGCAACAGAATGATGTAAACTAGTCTTATGACTTTCTTATCCTTTTCTAGAGCCAAAGGCTCAGCAAGAGCTTGTGCATGCAGAGAAAGGAACACACTGCAATAATGTTTCAAAAGGCAGGAGATAACATCTTTAAAACATATTTCTTTCAGCTGCTCTTTTACTTGGGGATATATGGCAACATCAAAACAGCAGTTACGGCCTAGTGAAAACAAAGCACAGAAACTGTCACTTTAAAGCCCCCTTTCATGGAAACACATTATCCATGTATTGCAAAATATACAACATACCATGGCTGATGACCAGGAGCTGGCACCAGCAGACTTTGCAGTGGACTTTATTTCTTGAAAGAAAAATGTATCAAAGGAAATCAGATATCTTTACTAAGTTGTATGGAGCTGGAATGCTACTGGATTTGATTATTACTGCTTCAGAGGTCAGGCCCTCCATAAGAGAACAAAGAGAGGTTTAAAGTACTTGGAATCAAAGCCATAAGGTCTGTCAACACAGTTTTTTTTTTTTTTCAAGGTGCTTATTCAATCTTACACATGTGCTCTACATCGTCTTCTGTATCCAACTTCTGTCGTGTATGTTCCAGTCTGTTCCAGTATCCATAAAGACCATTCCTAAAAGTGTAACAATCTCACATTAGAACTACGCTTACCACGCATGATGCTCACCTCTGATCAGTGGCATGCACAAACTTTGGCAAGGGCAGGGACTGAGGTGTTATGAAACGACATTTTGCAGAGGCAGTTCTGTAAGAGTTTATATCAGATTTTTTTTAGTATATGAAGATGCTATTGTAGACAAAGTTATTTCAATATTGTGATATTTTGTTTTTTTATTCAGAATTGTGACTTTATTCATAAAAATCGAATAAATATTCCCATGAAATTTTCTTGTTGCAAGAACCAGGAACAGAGTTAGTCCTAATATGGTTCTTTTAAATAATTACCATGACAATGTAATATTATTCAAACTGTTTATTTAAGCCTTTTTTACTGTTTCTTTCTGTGATCGTATTAGAACCCCATTTCCAAAAAAGGGACGCTGAGCAAAATGAAAACAAAATTAAATTATATGCAAATCATTTAAATCCTATATTTCATTGACAATAATACAAAGACAACAAATCACATGTTGAAACTGAGAAATTTTAATGCACATTTTGAATTTGATGCCAACAACATGTTCCAAAAATGTTGGGACAGTGGCATGTTTACCACTGTGTGGTATCACCTTTTCTTTTAACAACACTGTAAGCACTTGAGAACTGAGGAGACCAACTGCTGTAGTTTTGAAAGTGAAATGTTTTCCCATTCTTTTTTGATATAGGATTTCAGCTGCTCAACAGTTCGTGGTCTCCTTTGTCGTATTTTACATTTTATAATGTGCCAAATGTTTTTAGTAGTGACAGATCTGGACTGCAGGCAGACCACTTCAGCACATGGACTCTTTTAATACAGAGCCATGCTGTTGTAATACATGCAGAATGTGGTTTGACATTGTCTTGCTGAAATAATCAAGGCCTTCCCTGAAAAAGGTGTCATCTGGATGGCAGCATATGTTGCCAAAACATGTATATATCGTTCAGCATTAATGGTGCCTTCTCAGATGTGCAAGTCACCCACGCCATGTGCACTAATGCACCGCTATACCATTATGAATACTGGCTTTTGAACTGTGCACTGATAACAAGCTGAGTGGTCTTTAAACCCGGAGGACACAGTGTCTATGATTTCCAAGAAGAATTTCAAATTTTGATTTGTTGGACCACAGGACACTTTTCCGCTTCCCCTCAGGCCATTTTAAAAGAGCTCAGGCCCAGAGAAGGTGGCAGCATTCCTGGATCCTTCTTTGCATTTAAGAGTTTTAATTAGCATTTTTGGATGCAGCACCAAACTGTTTTCATAGAGAGTGTTTTTCAGAAGTTTTTCTAAACCCATGCAGTGATTTCCACTACAAAATCGTTTTTAATGCAGTGCCGTCTGAGGGCCCAAAGATCTTGGCCTAGCCCCTACATACAGAGATTTCTCCAGATTCTCTGAATCTTTTAATGATACCATGTACAGTAGATCATGAAATCCCCAAGTTTGTTGCTATTTTATGTTGAGAAACGTTATTCTTGAATTGTTGCAATATTTGCCAACACAGTCTTTCACGGAGTGGTGAACCCCTCCCCATATTTACTTCTGAAAGACCCAGCCTCTCTGAGATTCTCTTTTTCTACCCAGTGATGTTAGTGTTGCCAGTGATGTTACTGGTGTTTTCTGACCTGGTGGTAACCTGTTGATAAAAACAATAAAATGTCTCAGCTTCAACATCTGATATGTTGTCTTTGAAGCATTTTCAATGAAATATAGGGTTTAAATGATTTGCACATCATTGCATTTTGTTTTTATTTACATTTTTCACAGCATCCCAACTGTGTTGGAAATGGGGTTGTACTTACATTCTTCTTAATGTCTACTGGCTTACATATAAAACCATATAACTCCTAATGCTATTGTTGTGTTACTGTTTTGCTATCCAGGGCAGCCCAGAGGAGGATAGGGTTTCTTTCAGCCCAGAGGAGGTAAGTCTTTCTTTCAGAGTTATTTCTCTTGCTTTTAGGGAGTTTTTGCCTTTCACGCCTCTTGTTTACTGACTGGGGCCTAGGACCCAGATTTCTGTAAATGTGCTACAAATAAAAAATGTACTTTATCACATAACACTATAATCTGGATTTTTTTCTTCTCTAATATTAGGTTCTGCCAAATACACTTGTGGAAGCAACATGCCATTTACCTGTTTTTATTTCTGCACTTAGATGTTGTACATATTGATATTTATTTAGTGCAAAATTCACAATACATATCAAATTATGAAAACACCCCCCCTCCACCCCATCCCACACACACAGGGCAAGAAAAACAGCTTTTTAGGAGGTGATACTAAACACCAGTTCATAAAGGTAAATCATGAACTGACATGCAGGGACAGACATTTAGTAAAATAGCTGAGGTAATTTAAAGCAGGAAAATGTGTGACCGTAACCACAGCAGTATGGGGTAACCTTTAACTTCAACAAAAGGCATTCTTCACATTCATGCTATCTCAACCGATCAGCCCACTGTGGCTATGATCCTATTAAATTACACATTGGCATTAGACAGTGTGTTCTGTTTGTTTGGTTTGGAAAACTGCATAAGCATTGTATTTCAGTTATTCCATTAAAAACATACGGCTTATTTCTCAAAAAACAGGAAAAATCTAAGATATACTGCCAACTTTTTATTTTTCAAATGGACTGTATTTCTTGCAATCATCATGATCACATTTTACAGTAATCCTCACTGCAAAAGGAACATATTGTGCTCAGTAGGAGCACTGACATAAAGACATCTAATGGATACTTTATTCTTAAAGTGTCTATACTTAGCATAACCATATGAACAATGTTCTCTGATTGTGTAAAGCCAGTATTTGCTCATCATATAATCTCCTCCTCTTTTTCCATGTTTAGCCTTTGAGTGTTTCATAGATATTTAGACTGGAATGGCATTGTGGCTCTTTTTTGTCCTACTCTCCACTGGTTATCTGGTTCCAGCTATAGCTTGACTGACTGAGAGCATACCATTCCTATATCTCATTTGGGAGGTAGCATCCTGATTAAAGCAGACAAAGTGAGCTGAAAACAAATGGGGGCTGAATGGATGGAGAGAAATGAAGACTGACAGTGATGTCCAAACACTGCCATAAACACCTATGTCTAAACACATCAAGAGAACAAAGGCATTGTACACAAGCATTGGTCAGACAAACCATAGTCCAATGCAAACAAGGTGTTGCGATGCTAAAGCATTTTTATACAATAAATAATTCTAGTTCTAAATCTAGGACCACTATTCAGGGTGGAAATGCAGGTCCAACCCAGGCCGTACAGAAAAACACACATACGTACACACACACACACACACGCACATACTTGTAATGTACGTATGTATGTATGTATGTATGTATTTTCAATACTATATATATTTTGCTGTAGGTACATATAAAATGGTTCTAATATGATGATAGTATTCTACAACTACCGACATTTCAAATAATTAGCAGGAAGCTGTTAAAAAAAATAGAAATTTAGATGGGTCAGCAATAACTTTAGACAGGCTGAGCAGAAGCCATGCATGTCTGTATGCACAGAAGTGTTAACACAAAAATAAAGACTATCAATTCTTTTGGGTTTTGCTTGGGTAAAAACAGCTGTAAGGACACTTATGCTAGGAAGCAGTATCAGGGTCTTTTTTCTCAGCAAACACCGAATGTGCCAATGATTCTGTTAGCTAGACAGAGATTATCTCAGTCAGTGGTGGACTAATTTAAAGTGCCCTTAATGTTATAAATTAAAACACAAAAAAATCATGTATGTTGTATAATAAATAGTTATGGCCAAAAACTACTAAAAATAGCATAGAAGCATCCCTAAACCTCAACACTTATTGAAAATGTGAAGGACTGTAAATATGCACAAATATGCAAATGGTAAAAACCTGTTGCTGCCCTCTTTATATATATATATATATATATATATATATATATATAATAAATGACAAAAACTACTTATTGAACAATAGCACCACAGTGATTTTACAATGTTTGAGTTGTAACACATGGACTTGAGTGGCTTAACAGTAAAAGTATTTTATTGCCTTAGTGAGATATGTTGTACTGATGTCATGTAAGCAGCTACCTACTAACCACCATACTCATGATAACGAAGAAAGGAATTACAGTATTTGCTTACTTAGGAAGCTGACTGTTGCTGTGAACATGATATATTTGGATTAGTTTGACAAGATGGGAGCGAGGAATAATAATATTTATTTTATGATAATGCAAATTTTCTCAGAAAGTCAATAGCGGCTCCACAAATTATACTGTATGTATGACAAGACATTTCCAGGCATTATGTGGTGGAGCACTAGACACTTGACCAAAATGTTTGATACTGCAGAGCACTATATCTCACATACTGGGAAGAACCATCAGTAGCATATTAGAAACTTAGCATATTTGGGACATTACACAATACAAAGATCAGGCAATGAAACTCACAAAACCCCAAAGATCTCTCTTTGGCTGGTCACCATGACCTACTAACGCTCTTGTCAACTTATTCTGCTGCCACCATATTCTACATAATTACTTAATTGATTATCATTAATAACATCCCAACGGCTCTCGCAATGATATTAATCTTGCTAACGCTTCATTTTGACCAGATCAGACCATGTCTTTTTTTAGAAATATTGACCACGTGTTAAAATATGATCCTTGTGCAAGCCAAAAGGTTAACAGCTGCCATCAGTCACAGCAACTACTTGCAAAAAGTCTAAATTCTCACTGTAGTAATTACTCTCTGTGTTAATGTGAGCTATAACAGCTGGTAAATATAGTGGTGCAATTACAAATGTGTAACTGTAAGCCTGTAAATCAAATATGCAATTGTAAATATAAATATATATATTCTATGGACTGATCTACAAAGGTTTGTAGAACATGCAAAGGAGTATCAACATAGATGTCAAAAATACATGAGTAATGGTAAAAGTGTCAAAATGGTAAAAACTGTCATGGTTGT